AAACAAACTGCAGTATAATTCATTCTGCACCTCTGGCTCCAGTACCAGCAGGACAGATTTTACACAGTGATGAAGGGGACAGTTACAGGGCAGGTATGCAATGAAGTCCAGACATGTATTAGTCCCACTAAATGGAGCCAAAGAAAACACAAGCACTCTCCGTTGCATTGTACATGAGCTATCCTGATTTACAAACATGGTGAGGTCTTGCAGTCCTCAGAGAGTCTGCAGAGTACAGTGGCTTTTTTCCAGTGAAATTAATTTGTGGTTCTTTCTAATACAATTCAATTTAGACATGCAAATTAAAGCTAGGGTGAGGCAATTTATTTTAGAAGAATTTTTTGAAATTCTCTTTACACCCTGACAGCAATCAATAAATCAAATGCTCTGAGACAAAAATGGAAAAATAATCCAGTAGCTGTGGCTGTCGCAGGACTGTAATAAGCGTGGCCTACCTTTCTACCTGTTATGATTCCGTCTGTGTGTCTTATTTGGGAGTCTGAGTTTAGTTCCATGTCCTTAGTTCATGTTTTGGTAATCATTCCTGGTCCTTGTTGGTATTTTGGTGATTTGGTCTCCTCTGTACTCTGTGTTCTAGTTCTGTGTTCTCATTTAGGTTCTGGTTCTTTGTAACTTGTGTGTTTCTGTCTTCGTGGTTATTCACTCTGCCTCATATTGCCTCATCGATTAGCAACAACAAATGTCACCTGCATTTAGAAGACAAGTTGTATATTGAGGAGGTCTGGCTTCATAGTGAGCTGCTGTTCACTGATGAGCAGTTTGTGACTATTCTCCACCTCTGACAATGTGACTGAGCTTTCTAGTTCCAATTAGCTTGTCCTTATCTAGAAACAAGGAGCAATTAATTACACACACACAAATCCTCTTATGGCTGTCACCTGAAGCACTGATGAGTGTGTTCACTGGAGTACAGGATAAAACATTTTCACCATGTAATTCAACAACCTTAATCCGCTTCAGTGAGTTCACCAAGTGCATCTCAAAGTACATATTCAAAGTGCTTATCTGACTCGGTTTCACATAGTTTCTGATGTGTCATGACCCTGAAAATAGTAAAGCCTTCAGCATGTGTGTGCATGTGCATGAGTGGGGTTAAAATTCTGGATCTAAGGTGATGGGAACATTAAAATAGGTCCCCATGTTATTCTACTGTAGATCAATTGAGTTCCTGATCTGTAAGAGAAGCTGAATTACATTCATGAGGCTTAAGTTTAGTGAACCAAAAAATAAAAAGGAGAGATAAAACAGCTACATAAGCATGCACAGTCACCTTGTGTTAAATTAGTTTACCCTGATTAAAATGTTCTGTTCATCCGAATCAGTAAATTTATCAGTGAATTTAAACACTGGATAGTTTGTGCAGTCTGTTTTCATTCTGTAGAGACATTAGCTTTAGCTAGCTAGCAACGTGTGCACTAACCGTGTGTGCAGATGTGCCGGAGTCAGTTAGTTAGTTAGGCTGTTAGTAAGTCACTTAAGGATCTGACTGATCTCACATGGCTTCAGGATAAACAAACTAAATTTTTATCTCTCACAGATTATTTTTATGCCTAATTCATGTCTATTTGCATGCACTCACATCTAGTATGCATTATACTACCTCACAACTGGAGCTCTGATTTTTATGGATATTTAAAGGGGGCTATTTGTAATTTCCAGAGGCCATTAGTGGTGCGGTTTTTAGATTGCAACCAGGTGTGTGCTGGTACGCATGCTCGAACTCATGAGCAAAATCCGACATATATATACTCACTTGGAAACAGCTTCACACAACATGCTGGACACTCAAACTCCCACTGCAAAGTTACAGTAATATTTTTATCAGCTTATGGTTGAACTAATCCATGCTCCTTGCATGATAACATTACATTGACTGCATTTAGCAGACATGATACATCAGCATTAGCTCACCTGCTGCTTTACAGTAACTAACATTATTTGTTTAGGCTCAGCAATGTCAGCACAGCTGAACATATTGGATGATAACGAAACTGTTAGTTAGCTAGATTGAATATTATAAATGAGATTGTTGCCATACTTTATAACAGTTGGCCCACAGCAAGTAACATTACTGTAAAGAATGGCTCTTCTGTTGTGGTGTTGTCCTGCACCTTTATGTACATTATTGTATATTCTATGTGGGTCACATAAGTGGCTGAGACACTGAAGAAGCTGTGTAACGTTACCTGAGTATCGGTAAAACGACAATAAAGCTATATATAACATTATGAAGCACATTTGCTTTGTACTGTTACATCCTATCTTGCAGGCTAAAAGCAAAACTTTGACATAACACCGTTACATGGGATAGTAATATGGATCATGTTAGCTGGTGAAATAATGTGGTAAGCCATACAATTGTAGTATTTTGCACTGGATAACATTAGCAACTGCACTGCGTTAGCCAGCAAACTTATGTTATCTATCTTGAGCCAACTAAAGCACAACATCACAGTATATTTTCACATGCTGTGCAGTAATGTTAGTTTACCTGTCCAATAGAATGAAGGTCAACTCTGCTGTTCCATAACAAAGCGGAGGTCTTTCTTTTACTCAAGCATTTCAAAGTTTTGCTTATGTTTTCACCCAACATCGGTTTGATTCTCGTTTGGCCTGATGGGGTTCAGCAAATAAAACTCTATTGTTATTTTTTATCCTTAGATGGAGTTTGTGTTTTGCTGTGTCTCCGGCGTTTTGTGGTGTTAGTGGATACATTTTGTCAGCTGCAGTGTTGTCACTGTAGTGGGCAAGAGGCTCAGGAGTGCGCATGCAGAGAACCCGATCCGATTCCTTCACATAAATAGCAGAATAATGGCTATTCCAAGCAGAAACAGCTTTGCAGGGATTAAATCGTAGCTGCCTTGCACTTGAAAACAAGGCTTTTAAAAATGTTTTGGACTTGTCTCATTCTTTTAATAAAAGTTGACTCAATATTTACTGCCTGCCTCTTATTTTAAAATGGTGATTTGATTGATGGGGGGCATAGGAAAACAAATTAAGAAGTTCTGTAATTTCAATCAGGCTCTTAAAGAAATTTCTACTTTGGGAAATGAGTACTTCCCGTCTGTTTTTGGTCTTAAGAAGGATTAAATTTGCTCTTCACCCGTCTTTAAACCTGGTCTCTTTGACTTGAATGTACGTTAATACTAATCTGTTTAAGAAGCAACTTCACTGGGACATGAGCAAATACTCTTACTTAGTGGCTCCAAATATTACATTGATTTAGTCTGCTAGAAAATTTAATGGCCTCAAGGTTTAGTGATATCATTACATTGCTGGATTAATTAAGCAAAGCTCCTCAATGACAGATGAAGGTACAGATCCTGCCTCTGGCTCCAAACATCTGTGCCGAGGTCCCGTGGAGTTTACATCAGTTATATCTGTACAGTACTGTGAGTGAGAGCTCTGCATCATTCAAACTCTGGTGTTAGTTGTATTGATGCAGATATTGTTACTAGGCCAAAAGCAGGTGGAAACAGGAAGCTAGTGCTAGTTACTCCCCTTCATGCTAAAATAATGAGAGCAGGTGAGGTGATGGCATAATGCCTAAAAGCCTGCTATTTATGTTAGATTGTCTGCAGGTGTTGAACATGTTTTTAATAAACGGTTTAGTTATAAGCTGAGAAATAAAAAAAATGTAACCATCCTTTAATTTCATAACTTTCATGGCGTTGAGGTGGAAATGTAGCAGTGAATGTCAGTACCAACAAGGAAGAAATACGGACAACTGAAAATATTTGACTTGCAGCCTTTAAGATAGAATAGATAATGTAATCTTGCTCTAATTTGGGGGAAATTGGTTACATTTCTATTAGTTATGTCTACTAATGCCAGAATCATAATATAAATCTGTGTATTTCACTAGAAGAAATTAACTGCATTATTACTTCAGTTTAACCACCATTAATCTGATTAGCAGACAAGAGGTGGTACTGGTGCGGTCCCTGTTAGCACTGAGCATTACAAAATCTATTCATTTTACAATTTACACAATAAGTTTCACAATTCTGAGTTTCTAATCATGAGAACAAATGGGCCGCTGAGTGATTCAAGCATGGAACTGACCCTGAGCCTTTAATGCAACCTCCCTCCTTATCAGACATTCACTGATGTGTGTTATAATTTAACTCTGTCGACTTTTAACAAGGCTCTACTCCACATCAGTGCCATGATACCTCTCAAGGGAACCTTTTCAAGCTCAAAGTAGCATGTTGAAGTAATACATGTAGCCAATTATTCTTACAAATATGACCATATCTTTTTTTCCAGGATGCTCTTGCACTTTATGGGCCTCCAAGCTCTTTGTCCACATTGATTTTCTTTCGTTGCTGAACACCAGTTCCTGCTGACTGTGATATTATCACTGAATTTTCTGAGCATTGAGAGGTTGCTAATATATTACTGCGGCTGCAAACTGGGCCAAACTGTTTGAACGCACACACATTTTTATTTACAGCAGCGTTGCAGGGAAGCATTCTCCAGTTAGAAGATGCTAACGGGCTACCCACCGATGCCTATATTTATTTATGTCAATTGCCACATCCCACTGTACTTTGAATACTTCATCTGTCTATACAGCTTGTCTGGTATGCACTTTTATTTGTGAATTTATGCGACATGAAAAACACAACTAGAAAATGTATATTTATTTTGTTTTTCTTGAGTCTACAGCGGGTAGTTGCATAACTTATTTAATTTTGATGAACTATTGAAGCTCACGCTGGTCTGAAAAAAGCACAGATTGCATATGCTGCTTCAGTGAGCATATTTTTCATTATAAAGATTATACTGTTTCCATCTTGTCCAGGCTCTGTGGTCTTGTAAACAGAATATACAGCGAGGGGAAAATGGCAGGTATGGATTTTACTGGATGATTTATACATTACTTCCAGCATGCAAATGTCCTGTGAAATGACTGTGTGTGTGTGTGTGTGTGTGTGTGTGTGTGTGTGTGTGTGTGTCTCTCTCTCCATGAGTACCTTATCTGGAATCCTTGGCAGGTTGGTGCCTGCATGTGACCTGCAGGCCATTTCTTTGTTGTTAGTCATGAGCTCAGTAGAGCATTTCACTCTCAGTCTGTTACCCTGGGACACACACACGGACACACACACACACACACAGTAACCATCACAAACCTATACATTTAAATGCACCAGCTCATCAATAATTCATATCAATATAATGTAATTTACACAATCCAGGCCCCTGCCTCTGATGCCCAGGGCTCTAACTCAGCTCACTTCCATCTTGGGAGCAGTTCCTGTTATTATAAAATCTATACCTGTATTTTTGTGAGATCTATCATCAGCATGCAGTGTTTCCCGTCTGTTCTGCTGTGGCTGGTATTATTAGGGTGTGTCTGAGGAGCGATACAGTGTGTCCAGCTTCCCCTCGGCTGCTGTCCCTGCTGCCTTAGAGCCAGAGCGCCATCTGCTGGTCACAGATATATCACGGTCTCTGTAACAGCTGCGTGTTGGGGCTGTGAAAAGTTGAGAGGCAGGGGTGTGGTCAGCTGATGATAAAATTTAGAATTTATAGATGAACTGTAGTTTTCAGTTTGTCAGTTTATGGGGAGTCCTGGTGCTCTTAGGGCATGGTTCCCAACCTGGGGTTCGGTACATCTCCAACGGGTCACAAGACAAATCTGAGAATATTAAATTATATTATATTGTGCTATTCAAAATTATAATTACACTCTTTCTGACGTTGATATATTTTTTGTAAAATTCTGGATTGTTTCACCTCTTCAGTCCTCATTATATTCAAATAAATCTGAGAAGGAACAAATCCCAACTGAACTGCTCACAATTAATGGACATCCTATTATGATGGGTGCAAGTGGCCTCTGTTTCAATGCATTTTAAGGGGTCATAAGGTAAAAAGGTTGGGAACTACTCTACGGCCCATACATCATAACCTCACATGTTAGTTCACATTAAGTCAGAATGAAATTTAGAAAACCTTCTGATAAGGACCTTCTGTAACCCTGGCTCTGTGCAAACAATAACAGAGCTGAGACAATTAGTCAATAAATCAATTGCCTATAGACTAACAATCAGGCGTTTAATTATAAAATTAATCAATGGACGAATTAATGATGACAGTAATCATTAGGGTTTTTTTTAGGAAGAGGAGTTCAGGGAGCTCTGTCCTCATTAAACAGAGGTTTGACACATTCTCTAATTGTTTTCTTTTGGTAGCTTTTTCTAGAGCCACCAAAACCTTTGCGGCCCTTTAAGGGACAGATGGTCATGATTTGATAAAACGGACAAAATGCTACTTCTGCCATCCTCACAGTTTTCCTCAGGGAGAAATTATAGTTTTGTGACAGGAGACAGTATTGTTACACCCCCTGTTAGGTCACATTGTTGTGTTGGCCCTCTGGGGTCAGTCCGGACACCACAGAGGAAGAGAAATCACGCTGGACACATTGCCCAGTCCTGTTAGGAAGGCACAATGTCTTGTTAACGTCCTGTCCAATCACATTTAGCCACAGTGATGAACCTGGGCAGGAGCTAATGCGCCCTGGGAAATAATGTTGACGTGATTGTTATGAGACCTGCTGTCGCTCTTTTGTTTCCCGTTCATCTGGTGATTTGTTTATTGTGGGGCGACAATTAGGGCAGCTGTTGCTTTGGCAACATCCGGAGCGACTTCATTCACATCCACTGATTATAACCAGCAAACAACGTTCACAGTATCACTGCTGAGATTAATGAAAAGTAGATGACAACATCATTTTATTCGAATCACATTTACAAACATCAGGGAATTACATCAAAAACTGGAAACTATTTGGAGTCAATCAGCAAACAATTTAGTGTCTTAGAAAGTGCTGCAGACTGATATGATAGTCTATCTACAATACAATTTATAGAACATTATGAATAAACCATGATCAAAATGTGTCATCAATACATTGACAATAAGTATATAAGAAGAAGGTGAAGATGTTTGAAAAGGTAAAGTCACCAAGAGTGAGAAATAGAAGAAACAAAAGAAGGATATAAGGATTCAGGTAACCAAGAAAAGGAGATCAAAAGGAAAGAAGGACCTAGGAGTAAAAAGTTAAGGGAAGGCGGAAGAGATTATGCAAAAAGATGCAAGAAAATATATGTTAGGAAAAGAGCGTGAGGTCAGTGGAAGGAGGAATCATGAGCTAGAGAAAAGGGGAGGATGATGTAGATATTTTTGTCTGTTACGTAGAACTACTGCAGCCTGTGCAGGTTGAGAATGGCAGCAAAACTAATAAGAGAACATATATAAATATATCCTAAGGAGCCGGGAGGCTGGCCATAATGACGATGAGGACAATAGATGGCATTTCTGATTTGTCTTTTAATCAGTTTTGAATGAAAAGGATGTGAGCAATGAAATTTCCAATAAAAAGAACCTTGAAAACAGAGTTGGCCTTTGACATTGTGGGATTTGACTCATAGCTCTTTGTGGCAAAGAAAAGAGAGACAGAAAGAGAGAATGAATGGTGAGAAAATTCATTAAAACACAACAAGAAGAAATAAATCCAAACTAAATAGTACTATTTGCTCCAACTCAGTAGATCCTGGTTGTCCAACGAACACTGCAATCTTACTCAGACACGTTCGTTTGATGCCACTCTTCCCCCCCGCCTTCTACTTTGCGGTTTCCCTTTATCACTGAATTATCAGATGCCCCTCGCGCTCTTGTCCTTTCCATCTATCTTCCCGTTCCTTTCTATCTGCCACATTCAAATTCCTGCTTGCCCAGACAACACTATCTCTGCGCATGCTAACACTTACTTCCCCTGTCTATATTTTCTAGTCTTATCTCCCTTTTCCCCCCTTTTCTTACCTTTGCGCTAAGCTTAATTTAACCTCTGTACCTTTGATGAGAAAGCAAAGCTAATTGATCTTCTTTCTACCAATTTTAGGTGTAAGGTTGATCAGTATTGGAAATCTCACACATTAGAGCTCCCACTAGTCTTCTGCAGATTCACACTGCACAGAAATACATTTGAATCTATTTTGTACTTGACTGTAAGGATTATAAATTAGGCTAAACACCAATATTTCACAATGAACCTGGGAAAGTTTTCAATGACTTAAAATGTCCATAACTAACCTGTTGTGATTTCTGGTTTCTGAATCATTTGAATGAATGTGGAAATCCTGGATAATAACATAAACAATGGGAAATTGACATCATTTTTGACCTTGAAAAGAGTAATTTAACAAACTTGCTGTTCACTGACTCACTTTAATTACCATGCCACAGAAGTCTTGGAAAAGAAAATGTGAATGTGTCAGTTTGTTAAGGAGTCCTTTATTGAAATATATATCCAAAAGAATTTAAAATGCATGATGTCCTTCATTATGCTTCATAAACTGCTCCTGTTCTATCATATTTCCATCATGTCTACTCTGTACCTCATAGTACACTGTATTATAACTTTTTTTCCATGTAGGTCACTGGTCTGTAGTAAGGCACTATACGTTCTCTGTATGAACCACATATTTTGTTTTGTATATGTCAACAGAAATTCCATAAATATTCATGCAGAAAAAGAGTCTTTGTCCAATGTAAGTTGAATAGTGACCCAAGCACACTCATAATAACAGTCTGACTCGCCTGTTGATGCAACTTACAGACCCACACACAAAAACACACACACACACACACTGCTAGCTGTCATGGCCGTCTGCAGCTGCCTGATTAGTGAGTTGGTGTCATGGCCGAGCTGTGACTGATAGCTCACTGACAAGCAGGCCATTTAACCACTGCCCACGTTTGTTTTGATTTCATAAAGTTACATAAACACTCCGACATTGGTGGGCGTAATTTGTCTGGCAGCCGGCCCATAATGCTCGGCTCTCCTGGGATCAGCAGGAGCAAAAACCCAGAGAGGAGAAAAGGAGGCTTTTATCTCAGCCAGTGGACCAATGAGGTGCCAGGGTAACAGTGTGTTGCAGAGAGGGATGGCTGTGTGTGTATGTGTGTGAGACAGTGATGTAGCGTGTCACCTGTCTGTCACTGACTTGGACCAAATACTCTGAACCAGAGGCCTGAACTCAGTCACACTGTGCAAGCTCTTAAACAGCCAGCGGTAGAAAGTACATTTAGTCTTTTATTCTACAATTTAGAGGTACTTCAGTAAGTTACCTGAGTATTTTCAGACAGACTTGGAGATACAGCACTATATTAATCATTAATTAATCGTTATGTAATCATTTGTTTATAGATATCTGTGAATTGACGCAGGCTACTGACTACTTTCCTTATGAGTTGTTCCCACAAAGCAGTTAAACTTTCCTCCACCTCAGCTAACTACGACACTCAAATCGCGCTTATATATAAATGCATCAGACATAATTTTTCAACAAAATAAATTACCATACTGATACTTTAAAGGTGTGATATGTAAGTTATGGTCAGAATATTTGTTTAAAACATTTCAAAAAGTTACTTACATTAACAGAATGGCAAGAAGAAACACTTCTGACCTTGTTGCTCCTGAAGCCAGCCTGTCCTGTCTTGTAATACCACTTGTACCTCAAGAGTCCGATAGCATAGCTCAGCCCCTCCTCTTTCCCCCAAAGAAAACTCACCAAACTGTCTTGGTTAGTCTTTCCACTGTTCCAACAATCACTTTGGTTTGGTCGAAATAAACCCTTGATTCACAAGTTAGATGTAAAGTCTGGTTCATTCTGCCTCTCTGATGTATTTTGGTGCTAACAGTAAATAGTACATTCTTGAAGTCAGGACCTTTAGGTCTAATATTGAGTATTTGTGTATTGTTGGTACTCTTACTTAAACCTACAATAACAGATCCTTTCAGTCACTTGGGGGCAGCGGATAACAGTGACATTTCAGCATCATTTAAGTTGATGTGGTGAGCTTGTTAGCAAACAGTTGCTTATTTAGATATGGAGCAACATGATTATTAATTTGTCGTGTTTGTGTCCACCTGATGAATGAAAATACAATTCTCACTCTCTTTTAGCTCTGTTTTTGGTTTCAACCAACTTCTGAGGGAAGTAACTGTGTCTGTCTGCTGTCTGCTGCTGAGCAGGTAGTGTAGAGTGGCTTTTTACAGCCCTTTCTCTGAAAATAAAACAATAAGAGCGGTGAGGATGAACCAGAACAGTAAGGTTGTGATTAATAAAGGAGGAGATCCTGAATTTAAAAGTCTAACCAGGGACGTAGGTTGCAAATTATCTGCGCTAAAATCAAATGCTTTGTTTTTGGGTAATTGATAAGTAACTTCGTTGCTTTTGCTTTGTTGCAAAAATCTTGCATTTTCACATTGCTTTAAAATAGAAAATGGTGTCAAAACAGAAAAGTCAGAATTACATCAGAATTTGAATTAATCAATAATGTCAAGTCTATCTCTTTGCTTTAAGTAAAGCAGGACACATGGCCAACCTCAGCCGCAACTCATTCTTTTATCAGCATGTTCAATATGTTCAGGAACATTTTCATTTTGGCTGATTAAAACATAAATGAGTTTTCTAAAGCCAGCAGGTTTGCTCTGAGCACCAGCTTGAGGCGGAGTTATGCAAGCTGGTGCACCTGTTCTGAATCACACCTTTTATTATATTGTGACTTGGCTTAAATTTAAAGTTTGGTTATATTAAAGTTGCTATGCTGCTATGTTGTCGGTATTGCTTAAGTTAGTGTTAAACTTTGGTTAACAATGTGTAGCTATGACCTTGTTTGATGAGATAAGGATACTGTTTAAATCATTATTAAATAAGAAATCATTGTAAAATTTCACAGAACTTTACTCACAGTAGGAAACACAGGTACATATGATTGAAATTGTTCACAGAGCACATAGAGAATTGATAGTCTCTGTGTCTATCTCTTCTGTGTCTAGTTTAAACAGAAGTATATGATTATCCTCAGCCCAAGTTAACTCTTTAGCCCATATCCATTACAGTATATCCCTGTTATTCATTTATTTTATTGCATGTACTCGTACATGACATGCAGATGCACATGTGGGGGAAAAAACTGAAAGTAGCCTAAAAAAAAAAAACTTAAAGTGAAATACACTGGAGGTTATTTGGTTGAAAAAAGGGATATTTGTCAAATAATGCTTCAGATTACACTATAGTCATCTGGGGGACACACACCTGGCTCTGACCCACCTCAGAGGCCCAGGCAGACCCCCAGCTCGTCCAGCGTCAGGCCTTGGTCTCCATCCCTGTCACAGTACTGAGCAAACTTCTTGGCGCACCGTCGCGGTTTTAGCCTCCGTCGCAGGAACTGTCGAAGGGGTCGAGCCTCGCGTTCACTTAGCACCCCACTGGAGTCCAAGTCCAGCTGACTGAAGTGCCACCGCAGCACCATCTCTGGCCTGGAGGACACTTTGGCCTCCAGAGCAGTATGAGAAGCAACATCCAGAGTCGATGAGGGGAAGGAAGGAGTGGCAGAGGGTGGAGTTTTGAAAGATGGTGAGGGAGAGCTGGAGGGAGTTGTTTTTGATGCCCTGGTGAAAAGACACAGGATAAAACCCTATGAGGTGAGAAATGTAAGTTACATCAGTTAAAGGATCCACTGAAAATCGATCTATACGGCATGCTTTATACTCACTGCACTCAGCTTGGATTCACAACAGTTATAATGGATTCCAAATTCAAACCAAAGAAACCCCAAAAAAATGTGTCAAACCCATTTTACACGCTATAAAGAGGCAATGGTCCAACATGACAGAAGTGTATTTAGCTATGTTGTGAATTCCGGTCTAAACTTGTAAAATCTAAACGAGTCAGCAGTCTAGGTGAGATTATCGTTTACACCACAGCAGACGTCATTGATGGGACAAACCGTTGGCTTATTGAGACACCTGTGATCAGATTTCTGTGGCTCTTGAGAAAGTGTTCCTGAGTTTTTGCACCTTCACTAAATATAACCCACCACATCTATTCATAGTATTCCACATTACACAAGGACACGGCAGCCTCCTGAAAAACAAAATCACCAGATTGCTCCTGGGTTCCTTAATAGCTATACAATGAGTAACAACCACAGCATTCATTTTCTGCATCAGACCAAAACAAAAACAAATCCGGAATTCATCAAACAGCAAACCATTATCAGGAAGAAAAATAATGATGGATATGAAACTGGGCATTGCGTGAGTTTGCAACAGTGCAATCTGACATAACGAGGTCTCTATTAAACCATACAATGGTAATGTTGGGAGTGGTCTGAGAACGAGTGAGATAGAAAAGAGGGTGTAGGATGAGACACAAACTGGTGAAAATTAGAAGAGAGCGAAAAATGAAGTTTAATGAAGATAAAAAAGTGAGTTTAAAAAAAGGGATGTTTGTGAATGAACTCAGAGAGAAACAGATGGAGGGAAATGAGGTAAGCACTGAGCACTGAAACAGATGGACTTGGTCTAGTCTGTTCTTCCAACAGTTTCCATCAATTAATCAGGTACTTGATCAGGTCCGTGTTGTACAGTGAAGTGTGAAATAGATTTTCATTTGGCATTCTGAGCTCAGTACTGTAACATATCAGAGGAAAATTATGCAACCACAGAAGACCAAGACGTGGCAGGTTATACATTCAAGAAAGAAGATTAGAATAATTTGTCTCCTGCCTTTTGGGGGGACGTGGAGTGTTTGACCACCAGTGGTGCCGCTTATCGGTACTGTTTGTATAGTATGTTGTGTTTTACGAGCATGTACAGGGCTGACATGGTATGTAGAGGGTGGCGATGGTTGTTGGCAGTAATGTGCTTCAGGAGAAGAGGATGACCGTAAGATGTCAAAGATACAATATCTAAAACTTCAAGACAACGACTTGTTTTATAAGGTAGAAAATACATTTCACATGTTTCCCAGGTCAAACCTGAATACAATGAAGTCTAGTGAAAAATATTAAATATTTACCAAAACTTGTTTACTTATCTTTAATGTACATTTAATGCAGAGCTTTACATACTCAACAGGTCAGGTGTATTCTTTGATCTGCTTATGTCAATCAAAGTATGATCAGAAATGGAATATAACCCTGGTAACACATTTTGGCAATTTTTCCCCCTTATCTTTTGTCACGTAATCCCATTTTAGATTTTTATTTTCAAATTGTACATGTTAAAGGTCACCCAATGCAATAACCTAGATCTTGCATTTACATAGCAAAAGCATTCTGCATTGCATACAAACCATGAGGGAGTTTATTTTCTTAAAGCCATTTAAACGCAGGCCAGCTGCATTTAGGATGCATCTTAGTCACAAATCAAAGGCAAACTGGGATTGTGTGCGAAATCACTCCCTTGTTCACCCATTCAATACTTCCTATAAAATGAACATTCAATACTTTAGAAACTTTATAGTAAATAGGGAGTGACTTGGACACAGCCTTCTTCACAGGAGTTCATTAATCAATACTGCATTGATCCTACTCCTGATGGGGTTTACAGTAGATAGAGATAGACTTACTGGTAGGAACTCAGACTCCCAGCATGCTCAGCTTCCAGCTGCAGAACCCGGATCAGACTCTGTAGGAACTGTTTCTTACGAGCTCCAGGACACCCTGGGAGATCAGAATAGAGGAAACTGTAACTCCAACGATAAAAACATCTTTGGCCACTCCACATGGCAACAGTCTAACCTGCCGAAGTGCCCTTAAGTGAAATTATATCACTTTCCTCAGGAGTCGGGACAAACAACAAAATCCCTGTGCGTTACAAATTATAAATTCATTTACCAGGATGAGGCGTTAGCATTGCTGTCTCAGATGACTTTCTGTGCTGACGAGGGAAAATATCTAAAATATTTTTACAGAATTCTAGAAATTTTTGGGATAAAAGTGTTCAATCACATAACCTAGCGTGTAACAGCAACTCTCATATTTACCTGGCAGAGGGTTTTCCCTGTACCTCCTGTCTGTTGGTGCCTCCTCTGCCCCAGAGCAGTCTGGGATGCGATTCCTGCAGAGACTCAACTGTCAATTAACCAACATTACAAGTACAAATATTGCACCTTCTTAAACGTCTTCTTTATTTTCTGAAAAGCCAGTCCTCAAATAAAAAAGCCAGCAAATACCAATACCACCAAATACATCATATTATATCTTGTATTGCGTTTTACTGAAAGGCGAAATCAGTTGTTTACCAACCCATTTATAACAACAGAGGTAGAGATAATGTTATAAGCACCTCAACACCAAACTATAGACATAAAGTTAAATTTACAGCTCGGTACCGTGCTCAGTACCGTATGTGGGATGTGCAAAGGGGAAGAATGAGAATGCGCTTGGACTGCCATAGTAACGGGCCTGGTCTCTCCCTTCGCAACACAGCTCTTTAAATCATGTTAACCTTCATGGAATTATGGTTATCACAGGGCTAGACTGTGTTAGGTTTAGCTAGGTGTCATGTCTGGTAATACTTTTCTTTAACCTCACTACACATACACATTTAATAAATGGTTTATAACACAGAATAATGTATTTGTAAACAGATATAAGTTTGTCAATGGTTATAACTCCTCCTGTGGGCACATAGGTGGAGAAATGTAGCCTACCTGATTTTCTGACAACTACAAATATTATTTGACTCTTCTGTTGATGTGATGCTATACATAAATATGGTGTTAAAATTTTGTATTAAATTTCTTTTCCCGGTAAATAGCATGATAAATTAAATACTTTCAAATGAATTACAACCAGAGATAGCATATACGTATGCTCGTCAGTAGGCCAAACATTTTAAGGCCTCAGGGAGTTTTTCTTAAACCAGTGAACCAAAAAAAAAAAACATCACATGAAAACACTTTACTCTCAGGAGTTTGTGGGCAGCAGAGCATCAACAACACTGACAACACCTCTCGAGAACAGAAGCGTCCAACCACAATTTATTCTGATTTGTTCTGTGTGTTTCCTTTAAGGGAAACCCACTGAGGGAACAGAGACAGTAATTGGTATAAAATTGGATGATCAAGTTGAAATGCTTCTGTGTGTCAGTGCGTAATTATATCAGTGCATGCCTAAATTATGCAGTCAATAACAAATAAGATGAGGGTAGGTGAAGGAAAGGGACGAGAGCTTAGGGGAATAAAGAAAAGATGGAAAGAGAACGTGTAAAGGAAGAGAAAGAGTTTATAAATCATGTGAGTCCAATAGAACTAACAGACTGATTGATTGATTACTTTGCAGAGGTGCCTGGTAGTGGCCTGCCGCTATCCACCCGGACACACCAACAGTAACCCACGGCAGCATAACACTGCACGGGGCTGTAACGGCCATCTGGCGTGCATTCTGGGATGAAACGCTCTTCCTGCCTGGCTGAACGCATCTGAGAGAGCAGCGACGCTCGCTCACGCTCACACATCTGAGGACTGTCTGTACACACACACACACACACACACACACACACACACACACAGGATATTACTACAGTATATTTGTGAGGACTATAGTACTTACTTTTTAATTTAAATCTTTACCCTAAATCTTATTCAGATTTCACTCACACAGTTTTGGCTTTAAACTAATCCTCAGAAAGAAGATTTTTCTTATCTTTTTTTATTATTGAGGTCATAGTTAAAGGTAGAGTTGCATAACTACACTGAGTGTATAAACAAAGCAACATATTTACAAACTGGCCAGTCACACACTCGCATACAAAGAATGCCAAATTATAACAAGCATATATACACATTTTACACATTTTAAATGTATATTGTTTGTAAGATTGTTTTCCAAAATGCAACTATTACTGTAAATGTTTTACTTTGTGTAACAGTAAAGAAAACCTGGTGGCATTTACGTGAAATTTCTTCCCAAGTGAAAATATACTGTTTATCAATGTTTTGAGTCACTCAATCCCCTCACACAGCAGCAGGCACACTGACGCCTACCTGTGGGACGTCTGACTGAGCGTTTTCCTTTGGGGTCAGAGTTCATCAGTATGGTCACCCAGAAAGGAGGAACTGTCAGCTCTGGATAAGACAATATTACTGAATTTTTAAAAAATATTTCTGCTTGTGGAGATGTTATACAGAGGAGAGTGGAGAAAAGATGGAAGACAGAAAATCTAAACATCAATGATCTAACTTTATACTTTTACTACCCAACTAGTACAAACAAAGGGTTAATCATTAGCTCCTGGGGTCAGGGAAGTGACCGTAATGGACATCAGTATTTAATTTAGGTTGAAACAGCAGCATCTCAGTGATGGTGGACAAGAAATTCTTCTTTATTGTAACTTTGTGATTTTAACTGACTGAAAATCTTGCAGCTTAAAGTATTTCAAGCCTGCTGAGGCAGCAGGGGCCCTGAAGCCTTTCACTTTATCAGAGCATGACTACTGTAGGAGTACCAAGGATTGATTCCCACAGTGAAAGTTTAACATAAATTAAATCTAACTTAGCCTTATAAAGCTCCGTAAAGCCAAGGGCAGCTGCAGATTCAGGTGTATATTCTCTGTATTTTCTTCACACTGAGCGGTCCCTTCCACATTGTCACATTGTTTTCACATTGTCATTTGAGACGATATGATAAAAATATTGATTATAGCTTCTTTAAGATCCACTTAAGCTAAGTTAAAGTTGTATAAAAGTCAATAAAAAGAGGCAGCAAATGTGCAGTACATTTTAAGTAGGGAATTGGCTTAGCAAGAATATGCTTTGGCTGTAGAGTTTGTCTACTCAGCAAGTCAGTCTGACAGGAGACAAAGCACAACCTACTGTTCCTTATTCTGTTCTAAGAAATCAATGCATGCTTAATTACAACCTGGAGTATATGATCAATAGTATTAAGTGTCTGGAATTGCTTGGATATACCTCATCAGAATATTGGTAATATGTTCACTGCTGCTTAACAGTACGGTGATTTATATTTAAGCACTAAATGACGTGAGTCTTGGTAAGTGTCTTATCCTTGTTGGAGAAGGTTCGGTTTGTCACCTGAAGCTTTTCTGGGGTCCAGTGTAGGCCCAGGTTCACCAACTACATCTGGAATATAAGAAAAGAGAGTGAAGGTAACACGAATGAGGGAGGAAACAGTCGAGACAGAGGGGAAAAGTGTGTGATGAATCAGAGGAGAATGGAGGAAAAAATAGAGGGGGGGGGAATTTTTGGAGTCTTGGCATGCAGAGTAGGTGTGTCTGGCAGAGAAACAACCAGTGTCATGCCAGGAAAAGCAAGAAAAAATTTATATACAAGTATATGCACAAGTATATATTCAAGAATACATAGAGAGTATGAAGAATAAAACTGTTGTCATAATGGATGCAGATAACAATGCTGCCTTTGTGAATGTGGAGTAAAACTGCTTTCTCACCTTTGATTAGAGATGAATCTGCATCAGTGGTATGAGCCAACCTGGTGATGTGATCTGTTTGGGATGATATATTGAAACAGAACACCTCAGCGTGGAAAACACACAAAAAAATTTTATATTTGTTTTAAGCAACAGAATTGTAGCTTTGTTTATTCCTAAACATCAGCAGGGGAACAAATGAGTGAACAAACATACAAATGCAGATGCTTCCATACAGGGCTCACTGAATGGTTTTCATATGCTATGGCTTTCACAGTTACCAGATCTATACCCTACTAAACACCTATTAAAGATTTTGGAGCTACATGTAAGACAGCCCTCTCCACATAGTGTTTATAAGTTCCACAGCCACTTTCATAATGTATGCCAAAGGTAGTTTTTACTTTAATTTGTCACCCATTTGTTTAACTCTTGAAAAAAGTATAACTGACCAGTGCAGTTGGGGATCAGATGGAGGATTGAGGTACCACTGACGGGTTTGCCATCGGGTGTGGAACACCAGCAGTATCCTGTCTGGTTGTAGCACTGCACTGGCAGGAAGTGACCGTCCACATGGCACTCTGGCACAAAGATGGGAGCAGCTGGGCTAACATGGCCACCGCTGTTGTTGGTGCTGGCCTCCAGGGCCTGAGCCCTGGCCAGCTGGCATTTAGACAGATTCAGATCTAAAACAAAAGGAAAATCAAGACATTAGTTACAGCATGTGCTCCCACTGACAGGGAGGGTGGAGTGTGAATGATGTTCACTGTAAACATACAGTGACTCTGCTGAACTCTCCACAATAAGGGGTCTTTTTGAGTAGAGTAGTTCAATTGACTGACTCAGTTTCAGAATCAGAATCAGCTTTTATTGCCAGGTATGTGTACACATACGAGGAATTTGACTCTGGATTGTACATTGCTCACGATGTGCTTACTTATACAAAGATACAAGATCACAATAATTAAAATAAAATCAGACACAGACTTCAGTGTAGACAACACAAATATACACACTATGAACAAAAACAATATAGACATTGACAAATAGTGCAGTGAGCAGAGTGCAAAGGATTAATCAAAATTAGGTACAAAATTAGGTACCATGTAAAGGGCAACGGAAAAGCTGCATTGATCATTGTGAGTCGAACGTTTCAAATCTGTTGGATTTCTGAGGACAGTCTGGTGTGATCTTTTGTACTTCCACTTTATAACTACACATCAGCTGTGATGTAGTTTTGCACTACAGTGCATTGTGACGTGCTGATCTGGGCTAGGCATGGACACAGCATGCTGCAACCACTGGAGGTGGATGCAAGCACACTTTTATGTCTGGGTGTAGTGTAGTGTAGTTATAATGGGTAGGTTCACTATGGAAATAAGTTTTTTTTTTTACAGCTTCATTGGGTTTGATCCGTTTATAACTCACTCATACAGTGTCCTGATTTATACAGTTTATTGTTTGATGCAACAAAAAGATATAAGTTACACAACATGCCTTCAGGAACTGCAGTCAGTCAACATATGAGCAACATGGGACACGTTATCAACAGGTGGCGATGCAGCTGTAAAGGTGTGTACCTGAGCAGTGTAGTTGTGGAGCCAGGCGGAGCTGTGTGTTGATGCACTGCGCCCGCTGGAAGGCACACAGCGATTTATACAACCTGCCGTTGCTACCACACACGGCTCTGTGGCGCCCCCTCTGGCAGTCCAGGACACAACCGCGGGGCCACATGTTCTCTGTGATGAGGAAAGGCTAACAACACACAAAAATATATTTTGGAATAACTCTATTAAATCCTTTAACTAGCCAATGGAAACACATTTCCTTTCCAAAAGATTTATGTACCCTGATCCTCAGCTGACAGATTGTTACACTACATGCTGCTATTAAGCATATAATGGAACATATACTGTTAATGTCCATCACTGTCCAAACACTAAATAAGTTGGTTGCTGGTGTGTCAGGTTTCCAATGTCACACCTGGAAAACTGGAGTGAGGGAGAACAAGGTAACAGGCACAATGAAAGAAAGTAGGACAGCAAGTGTCAACACATCTGAAACACCTGGCATTTTACCAGTGAGTGTGAGTGAATAAACTTCACTAATTAAGGTGAGGATGGCAGCATCTTCCCTGCAAAGAGATCTTCATCTCTGTCTCTGCTCTCAGGAACTGCGAGAGGAGGAGGAAGAAGGAGGGCGATTGGCCTTGTGCCTCACAGAGAACTTCTCAGCAGGCAGAGCAACATTTTCACAAGCTACTAAATAGCAGCCTATGCAGGAATGTAAAATATGTATTAAAACCTCTAACCAGCCTATGGAAACCAAAAGGTTTATGGACCCTGATACCTAGCCAATAGCTTTTTATATAGTGTGCTGTTATTTTCTCTTTTATAAGTTGCTGAATTTAATAACATAAGATTCAGTAAATTCTAACACAAACTCTAACATTGCCAAAAGTGAGGAAGACTCCAGTTCTAAGGATTATTGGTCTCTACCAGCCTCTCCACTGCATTTTATTGGGTACCACCACAGGTACAAATAAAAAACAGTCTAGAAACACACATTCAACTATGGAGACTTAGAAAGGCCATGTGGGGAATACTTTGAATGGAAATAAAAAATACTCCATAACTTTCATGCTTTAATGCTAGCAAAGAAAATTGCTTCTGTCTGACCTCCTTCAAACGATATTAACTTTCCAAAAAGGTTAGATTTGGTGCAAATTATGTGTCAAAATACTCCTCATGCTGTATTATATCCTCACAGAATAATTTAATCTGATTTGCACTTTGTCCTCACACTGTCATTTAACATGTATCGTCAGACCTCTTACCTCATACTGCTGCCTGTCCCTTCCAGGTCACCATACACATCTTTTTGTCCAGATGCTGAATCCAGAGATTATATAAGTATATATAAACAAGATATAATAACAACAGCATCTGACATTGTTGTAAGGGTTTTAAAAGATGCCACTGGATAGGATTATTGCATTAGTGTTCAAGGAGTAACTTTGACCAAAGACAGGGATATGAAAGATAACAAAGAGTCAAAAAACATAATATATTGTATTATATGTATTGATAGGTGGTGCTGCGTATAAGATGCTCTTTTACAAAAAATACCACTCGTGGTAAAAAAATAAATAAAGTGCCTAATCATTATATGGGTGTTTAAGATGCTGCACACCTTGAGAGCAATTAACAAATAAGAGGTGCCTGAGGCATTTAAAGGAGAGGAGAGACAGGAAACACGGTCAGGGAAAGAAATCGGTGAGGGAAAGAAACAAAAAGTGAGGAGATGAGAGGAAATAAGGAGAAGAGAGTCAGGCGAGCATGATGATGTAAATTACTGCTACATGTGCCTGACAGCATTCTGTCAGCTCAGCATCACACACGTCTCCAAAATATACGCAAGATTCGTCACACTGCCACACAGACTCACTGAAAACACTCAAATCACACAAGGTAGCACACACACACACACTCTTCATCAGTACCTCTTTGTCCATCAGCCTCCCTTCACTCACTCTACACACACACACACGAGTAAATTTGCCACGGTGTGTTTAACAATGTTGACATAATTTAGTGGTGAATGAGACCTCTATACCCTAATATCAGTATTACCTTGACTGCAGAGATCAACAATTAAAAAAAAATCCTGGTTTAATGAAACTAGTCTCAATTAGTCAATTCATTTATCAATGATCAACAATTCTATTAAGCAAAAATGCCAATTATCTTCTTTGTTTAATATCTGAAGATTTAACCTCTTTTCTCTGTTGGTTGGATAAAAGTCCGTTTAATTTTCTGATATTTTAAAGACAAACTATTTAGTAAAGTATTTGAAAAAACTATCAAAGAGTAATCGATAATTGAATGAATGAATGAAAATGAATTACAGCTCTAAATAACTACATAGAATAATGATGTAAACAAATGACAATACCACTCAGATCCACTTGACAATTCATGAATTCAGTCAACAAACTTACTACATCCACTGGGAATCATATTTTTAAGGGAATTACATAGCTGCAATGCAGGGTCTTTTGATTTTTTGTTTATACTGATGAGATTTCCTTTTGATGATTACCAACAAGAGGTCATTTTACTGATATATTTTTAACACAACATCAAGAAAGAGAAGTGTAAAAATAAATCTTTTACACTTGTCTGACACTTTCTCTCTACTTCCTTTAATATTTTTTGGCACTTCTAGCTTTCCTCACTGAAACTGTAAAACCAAACCTGTCACAAACTTACATCTGGAAAAAAACAACCGTTTGAAAGAGAAAAAGTCAAAGTATGCCTTTTTGGAAAGATGAGGTGAAATAAAGGTGGTGATGGAAGGAGGAGGCGGAGGTGAAACTAAAACAGTACATGGAGAGTATAGCTTTACTTTCTGAAAAGCTGCAGCCAGTCCAAGCAAAGCACAAAACAATTTCTGCCCAGACCCTCCCAGAACCACATGGGTGCAGCCCTGACTCAACTAACAGCTGAGACAGTATAGAATTTTCTGATCACTAATAGTAAGAAGAGTAATTTAAGTTTCCTTCTGTCAAGGCATCCGTGTAAACATGAAAATCTCTCACAGGCTACATACAGGTAAAATAACAAATCAAATTAAATCATCAGTTGTGTCCCGTCGAGTTTGGGCATAAATGTAATATGTTAAAAGCAAAAAATAAATAAAAACAGAGATGGTAGAGAGGAATGTACAAAGAGGAAATGAGGGGAGGAATGGAAGAAGGGATGGAGGTGAGAGGAATAAAGCAATAAGTGTGGAAATGAGTATGGAAAAAGGAGAGATAAGATAAGAAGTTACTTTATTGATCCCCCATAGCACAGCAGCACAGAGGAATGTAGAGCAAAGCTAAAAGAAGTAAATAGATTAAAATTGGTAATCAACACAACACAATAAAGTAGTCAGTGATCGTCAGAAAAAAATATATAAAATACACATCAAGTCCAAGATGGAGGAATAGAGAATGGAGGGAAGGAATAGAGAAAGCAATGGAGGATGCAGGAGAGGGAAAAAGTGGAAGAGTATTCATCTATTCTAGAATAAAGAAGGGTGAGCATGAAAAAGAGAAATATGAAAGGATAACGGAAGAATGGATGGATGAAATGAAAGAGGAATGAGTGGGAGGACTGCAGCGGGATTAAAATTGAGGGAGAAATTGAAGAGTAGAGGAAGAAAAATACTAAAAAAAAAAAGGGAGGAATGTAACTACAATGACAGAGATGAATTCAGGGAAAAGGCTTGCTAAGAATATAAAAAAAAGAGGGAGAAATGAAGGAGGATATAGGTGGAGAAATGCAAGGATAGAAGGAGGATGATAGGATTGAACTGACTAAAGAAGGGAAGAATGGAGGAATAGACATATGAAAGGACGTACTGGACAAAGCTATGGACAGATTTGAGGGGGGAAATTGCAATTACAGGACTTGAGAAAGATATGTGGAGAGAATGGAGAAAGGAATGAAAGCCTGGGTGGAATAAATGAAGAGGAAGACTAGAAGGAGTTTAGAAGAGTGGAGGAAGAGGAATGCAGGGCGGACCAGAGGCGGCCTGGAGCCGAGGTGCAAAGTGTTGGACAGAATGAATTTCATGTCTGTCAGGTAGAACTACAATATCCTCAGTGTTAAAACAATTACCACCAGTGTTTTTGGGCCTATAAAACTTCAGACATGCCATGAGTGTGTGCGCAGAGAGTGAAAAAGAGAGAGAGGCGACAGGAAGAGAGCGAGCAGCAGAGAAAGCGAGAACAAGCAACCACTTTCTCCTCGTGCCTCACACATTCCAGATACTGCCAACCGGCAGCTTTAAGAAAACATCTCCAGAACAAACTCATCTCCAGAGCTTTGAGAAACATGATGTTTGGCCTGGAAACGGCTGATGCTGCTGAAAGGCCTGTTGACACCAAGCATCAAGATTTAGCGTCCGAACAAACTGCCTGTGCTGCTGTACGGGAACTCGCTGAGGAGTGAATCGCTCACTTGTGAACGCAGCTCTTTCTCTCTCTGCTGTTAATCTGACCAGCATATATTAAACCTATCATTAACACACACACACGGAGAGATGATGATGATGATGATGATATGTTTTCAACATCTCGTTGGATTCAGAGGTGTGCGTGTGTTGGCGTGTACAAGCATCACTTTCACACACCCTTCAGAACTGATGACATACGCTGTGATTGGAGACAGACACACAAACACACATTTACTCTCCTGATGAAGAATCAGACTATAATATTCCTGCAGGTATAGAGAGTGTGTCTGTGCTGCTCAGTTTATATGCACCTTAAAGGAACAGACGAGTGGTTTTGTATGTTTTAGCCCATTAACCACAAATTACCTGCACTTTACATTAACTGCAGACCATTTCCAAAGCATCCTCTCAGTTTTTAGATTGATTTCCAGCCCTTAAAAAAGCCCCTGGGCTCAGTTTGTGAAAGTACAGTCAACTTGCAGAGACTTGAGATATGAGTGAGCGAACATTATGGGGTCAAATTTAGACAATGTCCAGTACCTTCTCCTTGCTAGCCTTTCCATAGGTTTCCTTAAATGGTGTTTCTGAAAAGCTAAAATTGTTAACGTACTACATTGTAAAGTATGAGCATCTCATCATTTTAACAAAATAATATTTTTTAGTACGGTACTTTATTAGATAGTGCCAGTAGAAAGACAACAGAAAATAAGGGGTTACGGGTTGTTGTCCCCCCTCGGGCTACACGGGCACAGCTAACTTTTTGTTGTTACTATTAAACAACTATACAGCTCCTATCAGGCTTTGACAGCATGTCAGTATGGGGATATGTTGTTACAGTTTACTACAGTGGTGGTTATCATTTAGCCTTGAATACAGACAAAAACATAACTTAAAGACAGCGTTTGTATCCATCAACAATGTGTGTCATTAGAATGATGAAAAATAAATTTTATCTCTCATGCTCTCATATATGTATAGTTTTTGTATTTAAATAAGCACCTCATGCTCTCATCAAAAGTGCTCATGATGACTCTGCTGATGATCAGTTTTCCATGTATTATTGTTAGGGTATGATGGTGATTTTGTGATAAGGGCTGGTTTTATTTTCTGTTGTCAATGGTGTTGTTTTATGTGAGCTTGTAAAGGTAAAGATATTTGATTTCTTGTTTATAAATGTTTGCCATTAAGTAGCCGATTCAAATGTCAAAAGGCCAAAATTGTTCAAATTCCTAGAACAATCAGTGTTTTTGTTTACCTGACAATGACCACAGTCAGAAGAAGTGCGGTGGTGATATACAGTAGCGCTTGTGTGGAAGACCGCTGTTTGCGTCCCGTTTCCTACCAACAGTAGGAACCAACATGTGTTTTGTTCAACCATGACCAAGATCTTTCCCTAACCATAACCAGGTTGTTTGTGCCTAAACACACCCAAATCTTTACCATTGTAATGGCAGATCAACAGTCATGAATTTTTGTAACAGTCTGCTTTTCAAAGGCTGCAGATCAGAAAACAGTATAAACAACCTATTTTGTTGTTAAGTTTGGAGGACATGTAGAATAATTCTTCTCTAGAATGGCACAAAAGTTAAAGCAAACTTCACTCTCAAGCTGTCAGATCTTCCAGAAGTACTAAAATGCACCAGTAAGGAACAGTTCCCCACAAAGCCCTGCTCTCAAATACACGAAGACATGAAATTAAAAAGGTAATTTGACGGATTATCGATGGTTAGTGACTTCAAATCTAGACATTTCTGTCTCATTGAAATGAAAAGAAACTGAAGGCTTCTTGAAAGCTATAAAAACAGAATTATTAATCTAGCAGCTTTGGACAATTATTTACAGTAATGTAAGGTTAAAGTGTGCAAAACCTTAATCATTTAATATATGTTATGGTATGTTTTTACTTTTTGTTGTTTTTTTTGTGGAAAAATTGCAAGCTATATCTCTGGTCTTAAACTGTGAAATTAGATGCATCCCCATAATTTTCACATACTATTTATGTAGGCACTTTTGCTATCCATTTGATATCCATTATTTTTTTTCCAATCAATGTACTTTGTGCATTTCTTATTAACCCGTTACCTCTGCCATATTCTATTGGCGTTCATAGAGTGTCTCTGACTTTAGTTACCTTTTTCATAATTTATCATATTTCCACATGTACTCACAGTGTAGCTGTATTTGTATAGCATACTGTTAAAATATATTATAGGATTACTGTGGCTCTTTTTCACAACAGTTCCCACTTTCTCACACCCACATCTGTCTGTATCCCCTGAGTAGCAGGTTAAATATTTGCCTGGCAGCAATGTGTGTGTTTATGGTTTAGTCTTGCTGGCTGGTGTTACTGCGATCCTCAAGGGAGCACGCAGGCACACACATGCACACGGACTCCTACCAAATCAAACATGAAGATTATTCTCATCATCATAAAAGTAAATATTGTTTGATAATGCCAAAATAACTACACAGTTCTGGGTTTTGTGTTTTACAGAGTTGTCAAGTCTGTTCAGTTCGACTAAACCAATTACAGGCTAAAGTTGCTCAAACCTGGCAATTTGGAGCCAATGTGGTGTAGCCATTGGTGGTCATAGACCCTGAACAGTAAGCCAGTTACAATAAAATAAAGACACCACCACACACACTTTTTCCAGTTTACAAACTGAGGGATTGTTTTGGTTATTTAGAAACTGAAACTGAAAGGTGTAGGCTAGTGCTAATAAGTATCTTTATCTTGTTCATCCTGGAAGGTTTAAGTACTTAGAGAAGGGTCTGGAATTTGGTTTGCTTTGTTTTCACTCAGTTTAAACTATGCAGGATTGCTGGAGCAGTTCTGTAGACAACTTTATCTTGTTCTTTTACTCAGCTGGTTTTCAACTTTACACAGTTGACTACATATTGTTGACCTGTGGCATTCATGTTTGCATCTTTAGACGAACAATTGAAGATTCACAGCTTCAACACGACCTTTAAAACTTTAAAGCACATTATACGCTACAATTTAAAAGGGTTAATTAAAAATACAGCGCAGATAAAAAAGTTCAATGAGTCAAAACACATTCTAACTTACAGTAGCCTGTCTATGTCAGTGGCAAATAAATCTAGATAAAATTCCCGAACCCCACCTCCAGTAGGCTACAGACTCATTAGTTTAGTAAACAGGCTACTTGTTAGTAAGTTATTGTTCAGGTCCTACCGCTGTTGTGTCGGTCTGAACCGACTCGGAGAGCAGGAAGACGAGCAGCGCGCGGCAGGTGAAGGTGAGCGCGACCATCATTGCTGCCACAGCGGACCAGATGAGTAGCGGCCGCGCGCACCCAGCTCGCCGTCGTTCCGAGGTTGCAAAGCGCCGCAGTGCGCGCGGAGCGGCCACTGCCAGTCTGCAGTTGTTGTGGATGATGACAAAGAGTCTAAATCAAGACCGGGTCACGAGTTCGACGCAACTTCTTCCGACGTCACCGAGCTTCTCGTGTTGTTTAGTAGTCTCGAGTTGTTCCAACCAGCGCGCGTAAAAGCAGGTCGGACTTACAGTGTTCTCACCTCTCCAGAAGGTACTGCCCATTTACGTTCCTCGTGCCTAAAACCAGTCCATAAAATCCGTAAGATCCAAACCAACTGCTCTTCTGTTCAGTGGTGCAACTCACCGGACATGAAACATCACAGGTTGGCTTCAGAGAGAATGAACTACTGAACTATGAACTACGTTTGAGCATAAAGCAAATGATCATAATTCACTATTTATACCAGAAGTCTTTATGTTAAAGTGTTGGACCGTGACTATGTATACGTTTCTTTATGAGCTTACAGATTAGCATTGTAGCATCAAACATCATCAAACTCAAGGGATTATTGTTTTTGTTTTTTTTTCTAGCCTATAGTCTCAATCATGTAGACCTTTCATTGACAGCAGATCTCAACACGCACACACACAAGACATCATAACAAGCAGAGGAATTTTGTAAGGAAACTTTTATGTGTGCTTTGTGAAACTCACTTATCATTAGAGACAGAAGGCGTTGCAGTTTCCAGTACAGCAGATAAGGTTTGATATTAAAGAGTACAAAAAAAGGAAAATCACAATTCCAGAGTTCATTTCTCTCCAATCTCTCAAGGGGGACAAAAAGAGAAAGGAAAAAAAAATAAAAAGAAACAAGCTTTTGGTCCTGGTCTTTTCTTCTCAGTTCCTTCCCCGTCTATCCCTCCCTCGACCTCCCCCTCCTCTCCCTCTAACAGCCAACAAACACTGGAGAAATCTGTTTTCCTCTGTTTAATTTAGACAGGGAACTTTCTCAGAAAGGGCCTGATTGATGCCCATAACTTTCCCCACAGTTCAGATATTAAACACATTATGATTGCATAGTTTTTTTTTGTTGTTGTTGTTTTTATTTATTTTACATAACAATATCTTTGTTTCAATATTTTTTTATTTGCACATGATGGAATGTTTACATGAAGACTCTTCCCCGATTTCCCCTCCCTCCTTCCTTGCAGTAAATTTTCTTTCCCTTTTCTTCAGAGACAATTGAGGGGATGGAGGGATGTGGGAGAGAAGGGGGAAGAAGTGGGAGAGTGAGGTAGGGAGAAAGTAAGATAGAGAGAGGGACAGGGCTGTAGCCACCAATAGGCACATTTATTTTATTTTTTATTTATTTTTACTTCCAACATTTTTCCAAAAGTCACAGGGGTATCTTTCCATCATAACCCTAAAAATCCAGGAAGTGCGAGAACCTTCATTCAGCCAATCAAATGCATCCATCACATGACGCGTATATATTTCTGTATGTGTGCGTGAGTCTGGTATATAAAACTGGACTAACTACTACAGTCTTATCTATCATATAAATGTATAGTTTTTGTATTTAAATAAGCACCTGATGCCCACCCCAGGAGAAGAATAGTTTCACAGAAGCAAATATTTGTGGATAACTATGGTGTTTGCCTGTCATGGGATTTATACAAGAGACAGGAGCCTCAACTTCATCTCTTCAAACAACTTTTTCCATTAGTATTTTCCATTGCTAAACGAAAAAAAAAAAGAAAAAAAAGATGCCTGGAAGGTCAAACCTATCCACTGGTGAAACTGCTCTCTCTGTGTCACCATCATTGGCTTTTACATTTGTGTGTTTTGCCATTTTATTTTTTTTAATAAATGTCACTCTACTTTGCCCTACTGGAAAGACTTGCGATCGATTATTTTCAACAACTGGGACTGTGTGTGTGTCATTCTTCGCACTGAAAAAATAAGTATGTACAGCGCTGAGCCCCGCCCTCCCACCCGCACCGACCACCATCCCCAACAGACCTCACCCCACCACCCACCTGCTCCAGAAAATAAACAAATAAAGAAATAAACAAAGACAGGAAGAGGAAAAGAGCTGAGGTTAGACACGTCACCTTATCCAGCAACATGGGAAATAATGGGTAATTAAGTCATTTTATCTCTGGTTGATCATACGCCCCCCCTCCCACCCCCTTACTCCTCAGCATATATATCTCTAGGATCTAATACACAAACCTCGCCAGTCGCCACGTCAAACCCCACACCGCCCTGCCCCCCGCCTTGCGCCCTGAACCCCCCTGGCAAGAAGAAAAAATTATAATAAAATAAACAAAAATTAGCATAAGTATCAGATTAGCTTGTGTCCCCCACCCCCCCCAAGACCTAACCCATGTCCTTCCCCTGTTTGACCCCACAAAGGCAGAGAGGGTGAAGCTAAGGACCCACACTACAGAGCAACTGTCCCCTTGTCCCACAGCTGCCCCCGGAAATGCCTGTTCATATAAACCTTTACGACAAATTGACCTTGATAACTCTCAACCTGTTTGTGACATAATGGAGATGGAAAACATTCGGCAGAGGCCAAACCTAACTACAGTTCAATCAACTCAGAGTCTTAAAAAGTTCTGATGATTTCTAAACCGGCACACGCAGGGGCACCTCACAACCACCACTCAAATTCTTCCAAATGCTCGATTTCCTGGCGTCTCCTCTGCACACAGAAAAACTCTCTACCTCCCTCCCCTCTTTCTCCTCTCCCTCCTTCATCTGTCCAGCCCTCCTCTTCCTCTCTCCTCTACAGGTCGCTCTCTCCATACAGGGCGGTGGAGAAGGACATGTAGTCGAGGGCTCCAGGGACGCCGTCGGGCCCTGTGTAGGGAGCCATGCGGGCGATGCAGTACTCCGCCTGGTCGGGGGGGAGCTCCCTTCTGAGCTCATCAGCTGTGATGAAGTTCTAAAAGAAACAGACATTTTTTTAAATTATTTATTCAAATTACTACTACTACTACTTTAAATTTATGTAGTGTTTTTCAAAATACTCAAAGACAGTTTACAGGGGGAAAGATGAAAGCATGCATTAAATACTTTTTGTAGTGGATATAAATAAGTTGCTGTGCCAACTCGTTCTCACTCCCAAGTAGTCACATATAGAGGCTTGGTCAAGAACTCTTGTCATTGCTTTTTAATGCATTATGTGTCAGGTTAATGTCAGTAAATCTAACCAAACCTTGTTGACCACCGGTTTTATTTTGAAAGTCTAACCAGACTGTGCATTTTTATTGTCGTTAACTAAGTCCAGAAATAACGCTAAAAAGGGGTACCCAGTGCGTTAAAAAGTGAAGGTGTGATGATCAATTGTCCATGTGACGACTTGGCATTGAGAAAGTGTTGCGACGCTGTACATGAGTTTAAAAAGTCGCTCAACTTGAGATCATGACTTTTAAATAATTCTGCCTTTCAAATATAAATTCCAAGGCATGGCCAAAATGCCCAAAAAACATAATCAAAAACTGGGTTGTATATGCCCTTTTGTTTTGCTTTTAAGAGCTGGTTGTCGTGAGAGTATTGCCTTTTATTTTCACTGTTTTGGAACTTTTCTGGTTCTGATATTCCATTATTGTTTTCTCTGTGGCATTGCAATTTCACAAAGGGGGACCAAATTATTAATTTGAGAATGAAACTAATGCAGAAAATGTGACTTTTAATATGAATCTAATTAAAAAACACCATAGAGAATTCTTTTACTTGTACATTAAAAATTGTGAAAATTAAATAATCGTTGACATCATTCTGCATGATAATACACATAATCACTGTATGCACAGAAACACTTACCTTATCAGCAGCCAGGATCTTGAAGGAGGCGATGACCTGGTCTGCTGTGTCCGTGTCAGTCGTTTCCCTGGACATGAAGTCAATGAAGGCCTGGAAGGTGACGGCGCCGCTGCCGTTGGGGTCCACTATGCCCATGATGCGATTAAACTCGCTGTCGCCCTGGCAACCGAGAAACAACAGGTTAACCCAGGAGAGACAGCACTTTGTGCTCCGACACGCAGACGCAGACAGACTGAGTGTGACATATAGTACTATAAAGTGTATAAAACATCAGGACCACCATGAATCAGGGTGATCAGGGTCCTAATATTTTATATTTCATACAGGCATATATATACATAACATGGTCACTGGTTAATATCAATGGGAAATGCAGACATGAGGGCACAGAGGACAATAAGTTTCAATGGTCTATATGAAAAATTACATTCAGACAGTAGCCTATCACTCACTAGGGCAGAAGTGCAGCAAGTGCAGAAGCGACACAGATGTGACAAAATAAGACAAACAGCAAGAGGATCAGGGCGAGAAAGCGGAGTGTCTGCAGGTGTCAAGTCAGATTTAAGATATTCCATGTACTCACACCAAAATGTCCTAAAAACTCAACATATGATCAAAGTGATGATTTTACTTTGGGGAATGTGAAAAGATTATGATCCGATTATAAAAATTAGGATTTGAGGGAATATGTTATCAAAGAATATGCAAACAATACTCAGAAACATTTTGGTTATTCAAAAAGTATAGCGCTTATCCAGCCATTATCATGAATGGGTACATTTCTAACTGGAAAATTAGGATGATGGGAGACAAAACCATACCATCTTTAACTGGATTCAGAACATGGTGTCAAAACTGTACCATATGCAGACTTTGAATTTAGCAAACTAAAATGAATTAGGATATTCTTGGACCTGCAGACACCCCGTGAGAGCGTCATGCCAGCAGCAGTACCAGGCTGTTTCCTGTAGAAATGAGTAGGGCCCGGAAATCATCTGAGACCATCTGTCCTGATCGCTTCTGTGAGGCGCCACAGCAAAGGCCGGAGGGAGTGTGAGTTGACAAGCGTGGAAGTCAGAGAGATACAAATGACAGAGAGGAAGAGGAGGGAGGAATGAAATGAAGAAAAGATAGCGATGGAAAAGAAAGGAGCGGAAGTGATGAACAGAAATACAGATGTATGAAATGTAGGGAAAGTGAGTAATGTTCGGGGAGGTGAAAACAAGATAAAAAGCACAAACAGTTAACAGCAAAAGTCTCGGAGAAAAGTAAAACCTGACAAGACAGACGAGGAGCGGGGTCTGTTCAAAGAGTGAGAGGGAGCCTGATCGAGCTGAAGCAGCACAAAGCAATAGAGACCCCCGGTGGACAAACAGGGACGCAACATCTCACTGCCCTCCATGCTGATGGACTGAACCATGTCTGAACCCGGAGATAATCAAGAGCCTCAGAGCAGGAGCGCTGACTGATCACTGGCCAGTTTTTATAACAAATGGCCTCACAATAGGAGTATTGAGTTTGTCAAAATATAATAGAAAACATGATCAATGAAGCAATCCATGATGTTATGTTAAAGAGTAATGGAAGCAGTGCGTGCAAGAAGGCATTCAGACATAATAAATTTCCTTGTGTTTTTGTTTTAAGTAAAGTAGATACTTCTTCAAGCAGTGAAAAAAAGATTAGGTATTTTGCCTTAGAATGTTTTAGCTGAAAATTAATAACACATTTTTATTTATATTCCAGCTGTTTTGTCTTTTCCTTTGTATGTTCTTATGCGAGATATGTTTTAAACACATTGAAAAATCCCATCCTGGCCCATTTCAAGGCCGTACAAGGTGAATTTAGAGAGTGTTTTACAAATCTTTAGAACATGTGTGAAAATTGGTAAAGATGTAGCCAAATACACCTACATGAAGAAAAGTTATGTTGTACTAGATAACAACATGAAGTAATTCTCTAACTGCAATTTTGCAGGTGATATGTTTAGGTTACATTCTTATGCAGTGAGTAAATTAATGAACAATAATTAATAATAATTTAATGAACAAAAAATATGTTATGGTATTTTTCTGTTAAATCAAATTATTAATTTACCATAAATTTTAGCTCTAATCTGCATTTTTGAAGATTAATGGTTAGTAAATTAATAATATCATTAATAATAATAATAATGATAATAACAATAATAACAACAACAGCTGTTAAATTTATAAATTCATCATTTTAGCACTAATCTGCAACTGACAAAAAAAAAACAGCGATTTTGATAACGGATTCATCATTTAAAGCTACTTTGTGTTAAAAATGCCTGACACCATGGCAGTGCAAACATTTTATAAAATCATCCATTTAAGAGATTAAACAATCAATGAAAACACTGATAGTTTAAAATCAATAATGAGAATAATCAATAGCTTTAGCCCTAATGAGATGGAACAGTTTGACGAGCTGGATGTGACTGGCAGTGACTGGCCCGCTCTCCTGCTCATAGGCCTAACAAACACCAACTGTTTCCCTCCGTCCTGAAACCCCTACCTGCTTGTCGTTCTCCACATCGTAGCCCAGACTGATCAAACAGGCCTTGAACTCCTCGGCCGCCAGGGCCCCACTGTGGTCCTGAGATTGGCCAAACACCCAGTGACAGAGCGCCATGTCATGAGGATGAACCAATCGCAACACAGGGATGGTAGTGGATGGTGACCATATGATCCACAGCATGCAAGGAGAAGATGAGGACATGGAGGATGGAGAGACAGACATTCATGGATGTTTAGACAATGTCATCACACACACACAACTCAACAGGCAGCCACGATGGATCCATGAACGCCCCACACGCTCAAACAATCGGTCACTTTTTTCGTCACATGCATGTGTGTGTTTGAGACAACAAGTTATTTATGGAAATGCATTAAAAAGTATTCACAGAAACACGAAGAGCTGCATTAAAAATGTATTCTGCAAACACTAACAGGCTTTCTGCTGAGAATAATAATCTAATAATCCAGTAGAATAATATGAATGTGTTACTGGGCAATGTTTAGCCTTTTAACATTGGCTCCACATGAATATTTCTAAGAACTGAAAATGTCAAGTATCAACTATCTCAGAACAAGTAATTAGGGAAGTAAGCATGTCAACTATTTAAACAGAATAATTATAAGTACTACTAGTAGCAACAGATTGTGTTGCGTTGTTTTGAACGTGTGGAAATTGTGATTTTGCGATATTCAAAGGTTTTAGTGTTGTAAAAGAGTGAGCACACACAGTTGGATGGTGAGTGACCATGGTGTCCTGAAATGTTTATGAACCACTACATGAGACAGTAGCATGAATCAGTGACACACAAAGTGACACATGCACTGTGGTGTGAGATGGTGAATGATGGTGGTGTCCTTCTCATCCTTAAGAGGTCCAAGAACTATAAATTATCAGGTTTGACAACGACCACAAAACATGACGAAACATTGTGCTTTTTACACCCAAGTAAGCACCAGTTCTGCTGACTGTAGCAGATGGATTATCTTCATGCTAAACTAGAACTACGATTTACAACTGCCATTAACATGAAATTAATATTCCTATCAGAGTCCGTCTGCATGACCAGGGGGAATTTCTCAACGCAAAAATGTGCACAAGGCAAAGAACAACCTAAAACAGATATACAATAAAATGTTCTGCATTCATTATAAATATTATTGTTACTCACTATTTGCCCTATCAGCCATAATAAAAGCCAGTCACCAAAAGAGCCAGGATCTGCTAATATTTATCTGCTAATATCCTGCACAACACCTGAGTGCAACTTCTTGTATGGAAACAATGACACGCACAGTGTTTGTTCCCAACATGTGCTCACCTGTGTAAAACATCAGAATGAATACTCACACGTTTGGCTCCTCTCTCACCCCCTTGTAAAGTCTAAACATTCAGTCAGTCACGTTAAAATGTTCAGACAGCTCCAGGAGGTCAAACTATTAAAATCAACTTTCAGGAAAATAAGACTTCTTGACTGAACTGAATTGTTTTACATAATACAACCACATAATATAAGTACCATTGACTACATGAACAAAACAAGTGTTTGTGTTGAGATCTAAAGGTGGTCTTTTCCTTCAAAACAAAAAGCCACCACTTCTGACTATAATACTATAACATAACATTCATAAAAAAGGACGGGATTCATTGCTACCCTTCTTGTATGTGTGGATATATTTGTTTTGTTGAGCTGAATTTTTATATCAACATATAATGAAAAGGTGCTCATCAGGTGTAACCAAGTTAAAACTATAGCAACAAAGAAAAAGACAGTTACACTTAGCTTCCAACCCAAGCACTGATTCTCCTTACAGCAACTTTAACACTGACGTAGGAAGTATAAAAAGTGAAAAACAGATGTAATAAATAAGCCGTGACCCCATAGCTCGGGCCCCTGACCTTGTCAAAGTGGTTGAAGGAGGCGCGGTACTCATAGAGCTGCTCCTGGCTGATGCCCTTGGCGTCACGCGTCAGGATCTGGTTCTCGACCTCGTTGATGGTTCTGGCGATGGTGGTGAGCAGCTGCTCCCAACCCACACGGAGGTGCTGCAGGGAGGGAGGGGGGAGAGGAAGCATTAACACTCCATTTGCACATCGACAACCTGTGGAAATTATCTTGACAGAAGAATTAATTGCTAGGTGTCCTAGATGGAGTCCCTAGAACCAAAAACAAAATAACAGCTGCAGTGTGCAGAAGTGTTCTACTCTCTTTCTGAACTTTAGTGGACTTGCAAATTTTGATTTTGGGCAGTGGAACAGACAAAAAGCTTTAATGGGCTTATTAGCGCCTTTTTTTAAAAAAAGGCATAGAAACACCATGTATGAGCAAGACTGTGATGATTGAACTGATTAAATCTTGAAGATTTCAGATGTTTGTGTGTTTTACCTCCATTGTGTAGGAGGTGTATTTGTTGTCAAAGATGAGGGCCTCCTGGATGTGCTGGTGGTATCCCTCCAGCGTGTTAATTTCAGGCATGTAAGACATGATGGTCTTCTGGTACTCCTTCAGGTTGGTCAGCTGGTCCTCCAGAGTGCCGTTCATTTCAATAGATATCCTGCCAATTTCCTGCCAACATGACACGGTATTTACTATCCTGTTAAACCTCCAAATGTACAGTTTATATATTTCAGAAACAACATCCACCATCACTTGCAGCACAGTGCGAAATTTTTCTGAGACACTAAGGCAAGAGTTCACGCGACAGACTCCATCCAGCACTGGAATGAACAAATATTCAACCCTTTCTTGTGTCATCGTGTGTGTAAGACCTCACTCTGTGACTTTAGTGAAGCTAGATGCATTTTCTACTTCACTTGAACATAAAACAATATCAGTGACCACATTGTGTTGATGAGTATGTCACTATAACAAGTGACAAGCGGCAGCAACTCAGTTTAAAAAATATTTCACATGCAGCAGAGGATGCTTGAAAACAAAACACTTAATGTTTGCTCTAAGGCTGTTTGTCCGACTGTGGTCTGAAAAAAAATTTGTGAGGCTCCTGTGCTGTAGGTACACAAAGTATGTGTGCTCCGTCCTCTTGGTCTTCTTGAGTTGTCATTAATAGTAGCGAGTGAAGCAGTGTGCGTGCAGCATGACAAGGACTCAATCCTAAAACTAGTGATCATGATTAAACCTAGCAAGTAAATAAAGACTATGAATAAACAAAAGAAAAACGAATTCACCTATCTGAAAACTTTGAAGCACACTTCCATTCCAAAACTGTAAGCACGATAATGAACAGTAACAAAGCTCCTAACCCTTCTGACTCTTTGCTCTATGAGCTCACTGGTTTACAATGTTGGCCTGCAAACTGTGACAACTAAACAGCTGTGCAAAGATGAAGCGCTTCAACACAATGGTGAGCTAATTCATTACCTCCATTTTGGCCTGTATATAGGCGCCGACAGCGTTGGCCTGAGTGGCAAACGTAGCTCTCAGAGTGTCATTGGAGTTCTGCTTGTTGAGCTCATCCTGCAGGGCGTTGTCACGCAGTGGCACCATGTTCATAGCCTGCAAAAACACACACACACACAATTAGAAATAGAAAGCTCCTCTAGCTGCACCTACACACAAAGAAACAGAGAGAACTACACTACATGATTTCTAGTCCATCAAGGACACAAAGGGGGAAATAACTTGGAACAAAAAAACAATTCAGAGACAGCACAGGCTGCAGCCTACCTTTTCCCATTTGCGATCGATGCTCTCAGGTGTGATGGTGGTGTAGGGGTTTGCTCCACTCAGCTTGATGCCGTTGCTCTGGGCGATCTTCTGCACCTCAGCCTGGATGGACTGGATGGCCTCCCGCTCCTTGTTGGCCTCTGCCAGGGTGGACTTGAACTGCTCATGGGCTGTGATCAGACCCTGAGTACAGAAAAAACATGTTTGTTTTAACCTTCAAATGACAGCAACTAATAAAAGCCAATGTTATGTCAGATAGTTTAATACTGTATGCCTGGTTTGTACAAATGGGTGCTACACATTGCTGGTGGTTAAGAGTAGTTTCACCCGCTTCACTCTGAAGCGCTTTGAGTGTCTAAGATGAAGCGCTATAGAAATGTAATCCATCCACCATTATTATCATATACACATTTGCTTCAGTGGCCACAGAGCTCCCAGTTCCGTATACTTTCTTGATAATTTCTTTTGTAAAGAGTTTTTGGTGTCTTTCTGGAATATTTTAGCCTGTATTTATTTTTATGATTAGTTTCATGTGTTGCACCCATCTAGCCCACACTCTGTCCAGTTTCCAGCTACCTGGATCTCCTCAATATTGTGGACGATAAACATGTCCTGCAGGTCCTCCATGGCTCCCTCCATCCAGTTGTTGAAGGGCGCCGCTCTTTTGGCGTACTCCAGGTAAAGCTCATCTATCGACTCCAGCTGCTTCTCTGTCCTCTGTTGGAAAGAAAACAGAGAGAAGAGGGGTTTAATAAAAATAACTATAAAATTAATGACAAGAAGAATATGTGTGGGTGTTCACACTCACACCTGCTCTAGGACAGAGCACATACTTTTTTACGTTTTTACACATTTCATTTTTATATTTAAAACAAAAAGTACTAGCTTAAACACATGCGTCTGTATAATTGTGGTGGTTTAAAATTATGATCAGGACCTACCTGATTTGAGTAGCATTATCATTTTCATATAGCTCTATTGCACCTGTCTTTATGTTCAGTGGATTAAGCATTTCATATTTTAGTGAGACAGCTGGTTAGTAAAAAAGACCCAAATATTTAATGCCATTAAAAATACTAAAGGTGAATGGTATGTTGCAAACCGGTTAGGTTTCAGAAGGCAATATCAATGAGAACTATGCACTTTTGGGACAATCAGTACAATGTGAAAACCTTAACTGCATCAGTGAGAAAAGCATCAGTTTCCAATGATCATTATTTTATCAACATCTCATCAGAGACCCCAGTCGTACCTCCAGTGACTCTTTGCGGCGCTGGGTGAGGGCTCCCAGGCTGTCCCACTGATCACAGATCGTCTGACAACGAGCGTTGACGCTGGCAGAGTCGTAGTAGTCCAGCTCGCTGGAAAACACGCAGAAGAAAAGATGGCAGAGTTTATAGCACACATTCAGGGAAAAAAGGTTTGTCTCTATAGAGTACTTCTTATGAGCTCATGCTTTTTGTCTTTTTTTACTTGAGTTCCTGTGCAATTGCAGCGATCTGCTCCACTCTGTCCTGATGGGCTGCCAGGTCGCTCTCAAAGGCCTCATGTTTCCGTAGCAATGCCTTGACCTCTGACAGGGTGGAAGTCTCGTAGTCTTTCTGGGTCAGCATGGCCTCCTTACCTGCATACATGAAAAATTTGTTAATTCACTTAACCTTCAATCAGATTTAACATGACTGTCTCACTACGATTTTAAGTCTCTTAAAATGCTGTAGAGAAGCTGAATACACCAATATACAAATTTGTGCTTTGAGTGTATGAGCATTTTGGCCAATGTTTCATGACACGGGAAAGACTGACGAAATAATAAAATCGATGTTATGTTCTGTAATTTTCTATTTGATTTATTAACTTCACTTTAACAACAAGCACAGTTGGATGAAGATTTGAAGAATTGTTCATGCAGTGTGAATAGGAGTGAGAGTGTGTGTGTGTGTGTGTGTGTGTGTGTGTGTGTGTGTGTGTGTGTGTGTGTGTGTGTGTGTGTTAAAACATTTACACACCATCAGTCCAGGATTCATGGATGGCAGCCTTCTGGTGGAACTTCTCCGCCAAGTGTTCCAGTCTCTCCAGACGTCTGATCTCGCTGAGGATCCACTCCTCATAGCCCTTTTCTGCTCCTTCCAGAGTGTGCCATGCTCCATTGATATCCTGAGACCAAACAGCAGGATTACTGATATGAATCCTTCACTGCAGAGTGCATTATGGCACCCGTTTCTTGTGTAATGTGCCTGTGTAATTGGAGAGAAGCTAAACCCGCAGGAATCACAAACAACTGAAAACTGGGAACCATGTGTCCATTTTGTGATTGAGGCTGATAAAAAAGTTAAATGTTACATACAAATATTTTTAATGCAGTTTTAAGACTCTAGAATATTCACATTTATTTGGAATATGATTTTTTCCCAAGCATAGATTGTCTGCAGTCTGTAACAAATATCAACACATTCCAATGACTTCAGATATAGACTTTTTCACTGGAAATACACACATATGTATGTAGCAGTATGAATTATGTCTGCATACTTACAGACACCATGCGTCCCTCTGATGGCATGAATGCAGGTCTGTTGCTGAGTCTCAGTTTAGTCTGGAGAGTGTTGAAGCTGATCTCCAGCTGACATTTCTCTTGGACCTACAGACAGGAAGGAAAGTTGGCTCACAGTGTCAGTCAACAGATTCAGCAGAGGAAACAAAAATCTCTAACGTCTTAAAATTACGATAAAAACAGGAAGTAAACTCCAGTGAGTCAAAATTTTAATACTATTCTTACATATTGCCCTGCATATTTTTGGGAATAAATAATCTAATCTAAACCTTGGGTGGTTTGTGGACACAGCGGTAGTCTCTGAAGTCCTCTTGTTTGGCCTGCATGTCATTTACAGTCTTCTCTTGGGTTCGGTTCTCCAGCCAGGGGATGGTGCGACGGATCCACTCCAGCAGCTGGAGGCAGAGAGGAAGACAAGGAGAAAACAAAAACAATCAGGTTGTCATCCATGGGAAACCCAGAACAAGGCTCTGACACTTTAAGGATAAAAAAATTATTCCAGAAAGTCTAATTTGATCATGCAAGGTCTTGTAAATGAACACCAAGGACCTAAAATGAGGTCTAAACAGTCCAGGTGTAAACATGCTGAAAGGTTTTACATGTTTTGTACTCACCTCGCTGGCCAGCTTCTCATAGTCCTCCATCATTTGCTCATTCTCCTGGTTGACAGCCAGCACTTTGCAGATACGATTTGCAGCTGTCTCAGCCTATCAGGAAACAGAGTGATGAGTAGCGCCCGCAGTAATTGGTTAAAACACTGTGTCATCAAGTCCACTCGCTGTGCCCAAAGCTTAGTGACAGTATTTGCTGCAGTTGCATATTTAAAAACAGGATGCTGCACATGTAAGTCACTAAAACAAACAAGTGACTATTGTCTACTTTTGTCTAATGTTGCCATTATTAGTACCTTAACCTGGTCTTTTATTACCAGTTTTATAATAATAAAAAGGTTTTGCACTCCAAATATGTGCGAACACACTCCACACACAGGCAGAAAATAGGAATAAATCTAAATGTCAGGCACACATTATTAGCAAAAGTGCAAAAAGTAAAAAACTCAAATCAATATTAAGTCAAATGAGAGCTGCATTTGAATAAAACATGCTTCATCTGTATATGGTTAGTTCAATGTGCCAAATAAAATCAATCAGTGTGTTTTAAAGCTCCATGCGTCTCCCATCACAACTTAGGAGTGAATCCATACTAGTTACAGGTTCATGTTGCGCTGTAGTCCACATCAGTAGGTCTGCTTAGGACATTACACTACTGTACCACTGGAATTACAAAAACAGTACACAGACTGAAAGTTGATTAAAGTTGTTATATTCTGTACAACACATTTCCTATTTCTATTTGTTCTACCACAAATGGCTAAGATGCTTTATTTTTTGAGTTTAAATATTTAAACTAATACGTTCCACATGAATATATAAATCATATCATATAATAAAACAAGCAGACAGTTAAGAAGTGTTAATAGCTCAAGAGAAACTGAAGAGACATAAACCAGTGTTTCCCACAGTAATAAACCCAAACAGGTCGGGTTTCCCAAACCCACATCAGTAGAAGGATCTAACACCAAGTAGAAAGGATCACAGTACTAGCATGAGTTTGGGAATTTAAGTTCAGACCATAAAGTAAGTCACTTTTGAGGAAACACAGTCAATGTCCAAAGCACTGAAACAGAAGCATCAGAAAGCGTTTGTTACTGTTGTGTTTTCCCAGAGTTCTCATCATGGTCCTAATCTGTAAACATTTCCTGACTTTTACCTAAGTTTTCAAAACTATGTCAAAGCGCATCTTAAACAATCCTCTTGAGTTGTACTCAACGAGAAATAAAAAACAGCTTAAAACCTCGATCTAATAAATACACTGCCTTATATTCCTGTGATTTGAACCATTTTCTTATCTGATATCTGAGTTGATATTTACTATATTCCCCAGAAAAATGACCAGTGTCTTTAACTGTCTGGAATAAACCTTTAAGACTTTATATAATGACTGATGGAAACTCTGGTGGATTTATTTTGCTGCAGTGAGGTGTTAATGTGAGTCTGGAGCGTGAAGAGCTCACCTTCTGTGCGCCAGAGAAGGCGTGATAGAAGCAGGATACATAGGTCATTATGGCCTTCTCATCCGGCCTCAGCGTACCCACGATGTCTACGCATCACCCAGCACCCAGCAGGATAGAGAGAGGTTGACAAAGAAAGGTAAACAGAGAGAGAGGCAGAGTGAAGCCAAAGCTACCCAAAGCTACATGGTCCTTGCTCCCTACAGGATGCGAGAGCAAGGGGAGTTGGGTGGGGGGATTGTGGCTCCCTCTTTAGGTCCACAGCTTCAAGTTCCTCCAATAACCATCACCACAACCCACCACCACCCGTCAGGTGGGATGTCTGGCGGGACGAAGAGGAGGAGGACAAGTGTCCTCTTGGAGAGAGTTGAGGGACACTGGAGCCTCAAGTTCATGGTTGGGGCACAAACACACACAGACTGTAAAATTAAGCCTCATTGAGTCCGTGTCAGGGCAAATTCACTCAAAGTCTGAAGGAGGTCATTCTTTTAGTTTGGTTCATTTAGCAGGTGAGAATGACGTCATTACAAATCAGACAGCACGAAGTAACTGCACTGAGGTCTGAAATTACACGTCTTTCTCTCCGGAGAACTGCAAGGCAGTTTGTTAGGAGAGAAAACATACTATGAAACAACTGGTAGTGTCCCAAAAATAAAAGGTTTAATTAGTACGAAAACAACCTTTCAACTTATTAGTGAATTTACAAAAAAAAAAATTAAAACTATTTTTGTAATTTAATCTAAATGAATGGCAAAAATGACAAAAATATCATGGCTCCAGCTTCTCAAACATGAGATTAACCTGCAAACTGCCTGAATGACACATTCAGCTGACTCCTCGTGTTCTTTAACAGACTTACACTTTTCTTTTTTTTTTTACACTTCTATTTCACTGCACTTGGAAGAATACTTGGACACACAGCTTCAGCGTCTCAGTGCAGATCTCATGCTAATTTAATAGTTATCATTCTCAAATGAAAAGTAAACAAAACTCTGAAAAAATGCTTGACCATATTGATGTGTGTGATGTAGATAAATAAAGTACAATGCCGGCAAAAGCAGTAAGTCTGGAGATATTAGAGTTTGATAAAAAAAAAAATACCAAATGTCTCTCTAGTTCCTGATGACATGTAAATAATTCAAGGGCTAGAAGGAGAAGAAGCTGCACAACTAGTTTATATACACACACACACACACACACACACACACACACACACACGTGCCCAGATGTGTCCATTTCTCACACAAATCATAAACAACACAAATACACATGCGCACACACAACCCTCTCTTGAGACTGCAGAGGCACACAAACAAGTTTTGAACGGGCCACAAAAATTAATTAGAGGAAGAGGAGCAAAACAAGAGAGTCATAAACTGGCTTCCTGTTAAACAGCACAGGGACAGCAGAGGGGTGAAGAGCAGGGAGGGAAAGGAGGAGGAGGAGAATGAGAGAGGGAAGGAGAGAAACAAGACATAGGATGGTAGAAAAAAAAAAATAGGAGGAGCAGACAAAAGAATAACAGAAGAAGACTCACAGAATCAGTTCCGGGGTGAAAGCTGAACCTTCAACTTGTTGAGACTTTTGTTTTCATTCTAAAGATGCTGCTCTCCAGAAAGGTATTACAAACTTTACATTTTTTATTTGCACTGCTGCAGCTACAATTTTTGTCGTGACACTTATTTGACTTGATTATGAGTAATTTGAATTATTTTGTTGCAATTCGTCAAAACTCTGCTGTGATTGAACTAAAGGGATTTTTCTTTTTTACACAGTCACACAAATTTTTTCCATGTGCATTTTGAAGGTAGGTTGAACAAGGAGATCTTTGAATGTGCAGCACTGTACCTTTAATTCTTGTGAATTACTGAATAACCTAATCCTAACAAAAACAGGATACTGCATATGTTGGAACTACTTTTTGTTAAAGGGTAATTTTTGTATTTTTAAACCTCTACATATTTTTTCGGGTTTAAATAACTAATAGGTACAAAACGTTTTGGACTAGGTCCAAGAGATCGCCTCAGCCAGCCACGAAACGAGCTGCACTGCATGCAGCATAATTCTTGGAGGCAATTACGCCCATTAAAAGTAAGTCATGGCTCAAATATTTAGTTTCTGACAAAGTTATGTAAAGCACAGAGGTCGACCTTTTTGTTAAAGAGTGGGATCTTTTTTGTTTAACCGGTGTGGCTCAAGGAGAAGTTTCGCTCTAAAATCTTTAGAGTCGTGAGTTTTGCAGGAAGACAACTGTGGAAACGTGAGTCAGTAGTCATCTTACTCTGTAACACAACCACAACCTCTGAACACTGTAGCTCATGTTACAAACACTGCATTCACCTGAACTGTATAGCAATTCTGCAAACGTCTGACTGCTGAAAACACAGATGTCTCATAAATCAATCATCAACATCTCTACTTACATTTTTTATGAATTACCTAATTGTTTTAAAAAAGCTTTACCAACAGGCTCAGCTGCAGACTTCTGCAGTCTACTCATTTCAAAAACAATACATCAGTATACCATAGAAGACAGAACATTTACTGCTTTCACCAGCACTGTCAAACTCCCACTACATGTGTGTATATATATTTATTTGTGTGTGTTTGTGTCCCAACAAATCCAGTGTCCTAATGAAGCCCAGGGCTTAGCGGCGCTGTCGAGAAGAGTGAGGCCATGCTGGACAGCAAGCAGCACCTTGTTAGTAACAGGGGGTTAAAGGTCAAGGTCAGGGTCAAAGGGTACCTTCTGTGCTCCAGAGAAGGCATGGTAGAAACTGGACACATAAGTCATTATGGCTTTCTCATCTGGACGAGCAGTGTTCACAATGTCTACAAGGGGGGGGGGAAGACCGTGGTTATGAAGACACACACATACAGGCAAGACATAGGACATGTGATTATACACAACAAGACACACATGTAGGGACACACACACATACACATATTAAACGGGCTAGCAAACAAGGACACACATTTAACAAGCTGCTGTAGCCATTAACAGCCAGACAGGATGTTTAAAACAGAACAAATACAGTACAAATAGGATGGACAGAGAATTAACATTACTGTACATAAAAGGAGCAGACCCATATATCAGCTTACTAAAAACAACTGAAAGTGATCCAAGCTAAGTAAAAGTTCAAATTAAATTTGATTTTTTGTGTGTATATCCTTATTTTCATTCTTTGGAAAGCTAAATATCTAAACATCCGTACTAAATATCAGCATCAGCCTCAGTGCTCATATTGGTCTATCCTTCTACATACAGATGAATACATTCAGACAGTTACATCTGTTTTACAATCCGAAGCATTAGGGGAGACCGAGGAGAAGGAACAATGAAACGAAGGGATGGGAAAGAGGCTCCATCGATCTGGAAGATGACAGCCTGTCACATCTGCTGTAACGGCTTATATAACAACAGGTACGACAGTCGAATTTCGTGGATCAGTGGCCACATTCACATGCACATCAACACTGAGGCTGTAATGGAAACAAGTCGATAATTAAATCCAGTCAGGACAAGCCATACTGTGATATTACTGTGAGAGTGCTCGTGGTCAAAGTACAGCTACAGTCACAATATTACTGGCTTTTTATAGACATCAGAATATATTTACATCTTTGCTGCAAAGAGGATTTAGGTCAGCTTGATTTTGTGTGTGGTTCATCTCAGTCATCTCCTTTTAGAGTTAAGTAGGGTTGCAGTTTAAGTGCACTGCAACACACTGATTTAATTAGGCTTTTTGATTGGTCTGAAAATGTCAACAGTCACATTTTAGGTGATTTTCAGGAGATGTTAAGAACGGTGGATTTATCAGAACACCTGTTTTACAGTTTGTCTACACCAGAAATCATCGGGACCTGTGGACAACACAAAACTGTGAAACAATGTGAACGCTACAGCTGAATCACAGCTGTCACATTGTTTTGAAAAACAGTACGAGAACTTAACAAATGTAAATGAGTGTAATATAGAGGTTCTAAAATGACCAAATAACTCAAGCAGCTTAATCAGACTAATGGCCAGTTCCATTACAGGCAACAGTCACCCTGTTGTGTGCATGTAAACACAGCCAGCTATTGAAAACATACAGATTATAGTACAGTTGATTACAGTAGATACACAATTTAATAACAACACAATATCATTTACAAACACGGCTGTTTAACAGTAAAAGTTTAGGCCTACCTTCTGCGTCCAACATCTTGGGGATGTCCAGGTGCTTCTCAGCCACCTCAAAGGCGTTGTTCAGGTTGGTCACTGGGTCATCCTAAACAACCAATCACAGTGTCAGAAAACAACTAGATAATTAGGATAAGTTTAGATTTAACTCTATCTTTTTATTAGTAACAAGTTCTATGCTTTTTAATTAATAGTGATTTGAAACTCAAGTTTGTGTCAAAAAGTACGATGACTTTATAACATTAGGATTTGGACTGGGATTGAACAGAAAATGGGAAATGGATTGTTTAAGTCTAGCAGTAGTGTTTGTCGAGTAAGTTTGTGTGAATCTGTCTACCTTTCTGAGGCTGTCGTAATCAATGAGATCCGGTCTGTGTCTGTGGATCAGAGCGTTGAAAGCGAGACCGTCCTTCCAGCTGTTAGAGAGAACAGATGAGTTGAGCATAAGGCAAAGGGGGCCTGCAACATGACACTCATACATTTTGGCTGTGATTTGTAAGTTTGTCTGTTCCACCGCCAGCTACCATTCACAAAGCCTGTTCTGATCTACAAGAGTGCAGCTGGGTTTTCACCTTCGCATTGCCTGCTGCATGTAACTTGTACTCTGTATGTGCTGTAAAAACTACATCTCCACAGGTAGTAACTGTAGATATACACTTTAAGAGCCTCTGAAACCTTCCCTTCACGTATTTTCTTCTTTTTTCATTTCCAAATACTCTCTACATTTCATATTTTTGTATTTTTGAACAGTGTGACTGCTTCACAGAGCAGTGAAACATGTTCTAGTTTCCCCAACAGGGGGCGACCTTTCTACACAATTGCAGTAGCAAGTTTCAGGAATATTTTATATTCATAGACGGCACTGTCCTTATATTCAGCATTAAACAGTGTAAGCTAAAGGTGACTCCTGTATCTATCGTTACATTATCAATACATACAAACTCCTAAACATATTTACTCATACACCACAACGTATGGTCACACTGCAATTGTGAGTATGTGTTAATAATTAAAATTTTAGTTTATGTTTTTTTAATAGATCACAATTTCAGTATGTTTTTAAAATGGAATATTAGCCAGCAATGAAATCAAGCAGGTTCCTTGCAGACTGCAGCAAACCATACACACTTTTTTATCAGGGTTTCACTGGAGAGTTTTACTGTCCCACGAGAACCTAAAAGCTCTTTTAGAGGATTTTCCAACCTCAAGATCAAAAATTACATTTTGATGGAAATGCTGCATATCTATAACCTACTGAGAACTTTTTTCAAATATATTGACTGTCAACAGCTTTCATCCAAGAATAAAAAGTATGACCCTTAAAAACTGAGATCAATCCAACCTTAAAGTGCGTGTGTTGTGTGTTGTGTGTTACCTAATGTGGAAGTTCTGCACATTGACATTCTTGTAGGGAGCGGTCTTCCTCTGGCACCACAAGAGAAGACCCTCCTTCGCAGAGGTCTCTGCAGTTTAGAAAAAGATAGAAAGGGGTGGAGGTAGACAAGAAACAGTGGAGAAGAGAGGAGCAGCAGGAGCAAAATGGAGAAACAGAGGTCTGCTTTAGTCTTAACACAGTGAAGAAATTGCTCTTCTTTACATTAGCTGAAGTACTTGAATCGTTATATTCCCTTAGTTGTGCACAAGCAGAGAGAAAAAGAGTGCAGTGCCTGTGCTAAATATAAACGGCGTCAGTACTCAGTGGACTGAAAATGCAAGGACGTTTTTGTTTACTGCATGTGTCTGAACAAAAAAATATCAGTCACCATTATGGAGAATCAAATAGAACTCAATATTCCTTTTAGTGGCCCACACCCACCAGAGTTAATTCAACACAAATGGATTTAATTAGCCGCCGCAGAGTCATTACAGCTCTAACTGAGGAATAAGGATGCTCCAGTCAACATATATTAAGCAACATATACGCAAAAATAAAAACAACATTCTACAAACTAGAGGTGAAGTTTGGGATTTATGACCATTATGATAAATTTCCAGAACACTGTTTAGTGATTAGTTGATTAATCAATTGGTTGAATGAGGATTTGTTGCTGTTCTTATGTATATCAGTGTTAATTGAGTGTCTTTGGGTTTTGAACTGTTGGTCAAGGAAGACAGTGAATTTGAAATTGTCACCAAGACTAAATGACAGAAAATTCAATAAAAGTTCAAATTATTTTGCAGCCATTTTAATTGTAGGTAATAATAATTAATAACAATAGCAACAGTCAGTATGATGGTGTTCCGAGTACTGAGTAGTTTCACCTCATTGTCAGTCTGAGTCTGAAAAGTCATGTAGGTCAGAGCTGTTTTATCTTGGCCCATCAGTACTCAGCCCGTGTGTGTGTGCTTTTATGTCTAGCCTGGTTACTTCCACTCTAGTTCCCACAATGCACCATCAACTTCCATGTGTGTGTGTGTAAACACCAAAGATTCCTGCAGGTCTTGGTCTGCTAATTACTCCTGAAAACCTGGCTGGAAGTCGAGCTGTCGCAGAGCCCTTCAGCGAGGCACTTCTCTGCCAGGCTGCGGCTAATTTTTGAATGTGTTTATGCAAATTAAACCAGAGGAAGTTGTACCTTCTACAGAGATGTCCTGAATAGCGAAGCGGAGGATGATGGTCCAGATCATTCCCAGGGTCATCTTGGCGTTTCCATCAACGATTTCTGTTAAAAAAATAAATACATTTAAAAAAAAAAAAAAAGTCACTTCTATGTATGGCCACTTTTTTTGCATCTTGATTCACTCTGGAACATAAATCTTGCCTCTCACTACTGTTTTTATATTTTTACATCTGCTCTTTCATCTAATAATGCCAACACACCCACACACAATTGCACATAATGTTTCACAGCTGCCAAATCTCCAGTTTTTCCTTTTATGTGTGATACATTAACAACAATTTCTTTAATAAAACAAATTCGATCCTGGTGCTTGCAAGACAATTGTATAATAATAATTATATTGTGCATGAGACACCTTTTGGTATTTAATTATTTGAAATGGGCAAATTACTTTCCAGTCAACAAATTAATGTATTATAAGGACTGACTTTTTACCTTGTGAAGGTGTGTGTAGTGAAAACAGTACTTAAGTGTTTTGGTTTTGTGCTTTTGTCTCTAAGTAGCAGAACTTCATCTAATGGCATGAACAAATTCATAAAGCACAATGAGAATATTTACAGCCTGGCACACTGAAACTTTGACTATCATTATCTCAGTTTTCTCACCCCGATACACAGATATTTATATATAAACACACAAACAAACACAAAACAGGACAGGCATGTGCCTTGATATGTTAGTGAAAAGGCATGTGGGTCAGATTGCTTTCATACTTTCAGTTCACACTCTCACTGGCACCAGTCAACTTCGCTTTCATTCTATCAAAAATTCTTCACATTTTATTTGATATCCGTCTTTGACTCTTACATTTATATTCTGCTTCGCTCATTTCTACTTGTGCTAAAGGAACTGTGTGAGTGGCATCTTAAAAAACTGATGTATCACACAAAATAATTAAATTCCTTCTGTTCTGTGAATTAGCAATAGTCTCTTTCTCCACTGTCTCTCCCCTCCAACAGGCCTCGCCCTTCCTGTACTTATTACAGAAAGGTCTAAGACTGAAGTCCCTGGAGATCAAATAGATGCCTGGTATACAGAATGTGCCAGTTTAAACAATTTCTGCCTTGGAAAAGTTTAGGACTTTCTCCTCTCTCATCTAGTCATGGTCATCCTTGAATCTTTTCCTCTGCCATCTTCTATATCAGCATTTTTCTTTCTGTCTGTGTGCAGGATTGCAGTATTTGGGGTAATTTTGTGTTTGATGGTCTACAGTTTCAGCAGTGTCATGCAGTAGGCATGTATGAATATTTATCCCGATAGAGCAGAAGAAAGGTCACTCTCCTCCAGCCGACGCTGACACACAGACACACACACTTCCACAGTGTGATATAGTTATATATAGTTACAGCTCTGTCCTTGACCTCTGTTCCTAAATCAGCAGAATAAAGGAGAGACAGAGAGGGAGACGTCCTACTGCTGTTTCACCTTTTAGGTCTGATGTGCAAAATGAATGAGTTCTGCTAGTTAGAACTGCAAAAATGTTATCAATGAACTGCCACCAAAAGTTGTGAAACTTAAGTTTGTTATGAAACATTGTGGATACAGAAATGCACCATTACTGTCCATAAATAAAGATGATGACACTAAATGTCTGCACACTTGCATGCTGTCCGTTTCAAAATATGTTGCTGAGCATTTAATCTCAGCACTGTGCTCTAAAGGCATGAGCTGATTATGTGACAATGGGCCCTTGAGCAGAGACATGTAAAGGCCCTCCACCCCTCTAGCAAAAGGAGACAGACACCTATTGCATCTAATTGTGTGTGCGTGCTTGCTTACCCTCTGCTCCAATGGAGACCAGTTTGACTCCCTTGCTGGCGATGAAGTCCAGGGCTTTATTCACATTGTTGATCTTGTGGACCCTCATCTTGCCTCGCTCAGGCTTGGGTAACCGTTCGCCTACACACACACACACACACACACACGAACAAACAAAAAGTGAGTGAGTTAGCTCCTGTGGTGATGGGAGCAGAGCTTTTTTCCACAGGCTCAGCAGAATGACACCCAGTCAGGACGGGTAAAGTTACAGCAGGGACGTCAGCCTCGCTCACAGCAGAAAAAACTGAAGTGAATGTGAAAAGGGACGCCACATGCAAGTCAAAATTTCATTACTGGATGACAGCAGTTATATAATGATTATCTGCTATGCCATTAGGAACAGTTTCCCTGCTACAACCTGCAATTAAACACAAGAAACCCCGAGAGGAACGCAGTCACACGCCAATGACAGATCTATAGCAGGGTGTTCCCAACGTTGTTTTTTAAATGTCTGTGATCCAGCTGAGGCTGGAAACTGTGAGCGACCACACCCTTGAATGGACAGAGATGTTGTGCATCTTTAACATCTGAAAACTTTTTTCTCTCTGATTGACACCTCAGCGACCGCTTTGAAAATCAGACCACTGCTCAGTGACATATGAGAGTGTGTTTGTGTGTGGTGGGTTGGACGGATTTCCCTGCAGCGTCTGTGTGAAACATTTCAAAACATTAAATCGGATATCATTACAGTCATTTCAGTTTAATTAAAAACCTTTCTACTGTGCCTAATTTTCTGGTGACTCCAGTGCTTTGGGGTCATATTGATGAGTTACCTGAGATGACCTCCAGCAGCAGCATGAGTTTGAGCCCATCCCTGAAGTCCTCCTCGATGTTTTCGATCTGCGTGCCGGATTTACGCAGATGGGAGTTGCACCACGCTGTGAACGTCTGCAAAAGAGCACAGTAACAGGACACAAATGGTGATTATTCAGAGCCTGGGTCATAATGTTTTTTCCAGCTTTCATGATAATAAACCATTTTTTAAAATGACAAAAAAGAAAAGGAAATTCAATGGACAGGAAGGGAGGTCAGGGAGTAGCTTTAATAAGACAGGAAGTAGCAGAAGAAAAGGGGAGGAGACCGCTGTTACAATACAATACCAATACGTACGAAATGAAAGCTGCTAGTGATCTCAAAGAACGATTTAAACTACATGTCACACAGATGAAAATGGGCCGCTGGCAGTTAAATAATGAATAAAACAATGCACACTTTAAGTAAAAAATACTTTCTAAGACAGCTGCACATTGTACTACTTTTTATCATCTCTGCAATAAATCTTCTTTTTGTTTCTCACTCCAAATGTTTCTACCATTTGTCACATTCTCAAGCTCTGACTTCATTTCAACTGTGGACAGACAAAAAGTAAATAAATAGGCTTCATCTTGGGGTCCCACTATAAAAAACACTCTCCCAACATGTCCAAAGCTAACAGAGTATGTCCCATATGTTAAAGAAACCTGAAAACCTGACCAACAGATCCCCTCTACTATCTGAAAACCAGACAGCAATCAAACTGGACGCCATCTGTGATACTTGTAATTAAATATCAAAATGGTATACCAAATCACAAACACAGACATCTGGCAAAAGACCCACACCAGCACAAATCACACACATCAATAGCTGGTTGGAATCCATGAATTCGTGCTTCTGGTTAGCCAACATTCTTCAGAAATGTGTTTCGAGTTATTTGATTACGATGGAGTTTGTGGCACTGAGGTAGGCACGGGACTGTGGAGAGACTTTGTCACGCCACTCTACAAAATTCTCAGTTATGGCACATCATCAATCAATGTGTCAAAACACTTTTATTCCTGATTTGTTACATAATTTAGAAAAGTGTCTAAAAACATCAAGCGACGCTTACACGTTAAAGGTCTGGCCGGGCCTGCAAAGACTCAGTGACGCTGCCATCACTGATGCTCCATTTTGAAAGATTTAAATTTCTCAATGTACAAATGTAATATGAAAATGACTCCTAGAATGTACTTCTTAAAGCTTTCAAATTGATTAACATCACTTAAGCTTTACGAGTGAATGTCCATTATGTGAAGAGGTAAGTAAAGTGGATATTTATTCTTCCCCCAAACAGGAACAAACTGCTTGAAAATTTCAAAGAAAAAAACTTATTGAAGAAAGACTGGCATTTTTCACCATTTTCTGACATTTCATGGACTAAAAAAAAAAAATTAGGAAAATATAACTGCGATAAATGATGAAAATATTTTGTCTCCATTCACTCTTATTTTAATTCAACTGAGATTCACAACAGCTGCAGAACTTCTCCTTAGTACAATATCTGACACAAATTGAATACATAAATATTTTAGAAAACAAAATATCACTGTTGATAGTGAATGATGTGAACTTTTTCCTCCCTCTCTACAGAGCTGTGTTCAAAAACATTATGACAGGGTGCTGCTCGCTGCCCTGCCCCTCTCCCCACCATCCCACTGTGGCCACCGGCACAAAGCGCCCATTGAGCCTCGTGGATAATAGCACCCTTCAGCCCCCTGTACTCTCCCTCAGCCCGCTCTAGCTCTGTGACCCTCCCCCAGACCACCCGATACCAACCCCCAACACACACATACACAGAATCATCTATATAGAGTGCTCCCTCCCTGAGACTGGACCAGGAAACACACCGTGAGGACAGAGAGGAGGAAGGAAGGGGAGATACATTTCAGATAAACAAACAACATACAGACAAAGTTAGGGGGCAGGAGGGGGAGGGCAGAAAGATAATGCCCCCTCTACCCCACACACACACAGAGTTAACAATGCAACGGGAAGTGGCACTGCAATGACAGGAAGTTCCAGCTCAGTTTAGCACCAAGTAGACAATCCGAGAGAAGCTGCATCCATCACTCACTGTCACTGATTCACTGCCACCACATTACAGAACTAGAGACAGGATGCTCAACACTCAACTTCAATCCTTTAAACTTTCTCCACTGTTTTCAAATGTTTCTGGGATTTGGCGAGCAAGCGCAAATAACATGTTTGATTTACATTTATTATTTGTTTCTATGGTAGATACAGTTAGCACTGGGTCAAGTAAGCCCAAGTATAAGTCACAATTATCATCTCAGTCAGTGGAGCCAAGTTTTTAATTTAAAAAGTAAGTTAAGGAATGTGAATTGTATCAGAGAGAAGCTTTTACTAGAAAAGAAAAAGACGGTTATGTTCCAGCAGGACCGCTGCCACTGGGAGTGGTGACAAGGAGAGCAGCATACAAACAGCAACAGGTTGAGACCTGCAGAGAGCCTGGGGACGTTATGTCCTGTATAACAACAAGCTACAGATTATACAGCGGATAGTCTTTCATCTCAGCCCTCCAAGGTCAGAGGTCAGCCCTTCACACTGTTGGGCACTCAGACTGCCTTTATCAGAGGTTGAACTAGCCCTGTGCTCTGCTAAAAGAGGGCTGACCACCAGGCTTTTCTGGGTGCGTGACAATGAGGAAGAAGAAAACTTCTGCTCTGTTGAATTCTTTCAGTCAGCTTTTTGTATTTGGCAAATGTAGCATGTCTCTGGCTACCTGTCATTCAGAGATAACAAGGTGTGGTGCTGCTGTGCGTTCAAAGCTGGCACAGGCATGCCGATACCGTGTACAGCTCATAAAGAGACTGAAACATTCTGACTGGACATAGAAGCAAAGAAAGTAGCTATAAAAAATACTTCTCTCACAATTCCTCGCTATGCTACATTTCTTGTCTTTTATACAATCTATAAAAACCGTCTTGAAATATGCTGACTGAGCGAAGGAACTTAATTGCTACAGTGCACCGCCTTGAAATGCATGTGACATCAACAAACTACCTTTGACTTGATATCATGTGATCTCTCAGGCAAGTTGGTTCACATGCAACATGGACTGACCTTTATTCCCCTTGTAGAAAAATACTGACAGCTTTTTGAGTCTATTAAACTTGACATCACAAGCATTTAAAATTTTAAGCTTTGCTTTGAGTCCAAGTTTAAGCCCAACTTCGACTGGCTTTCATTAAACTCAGTTTAAAATGCAAATATCAGTATTAGTTTGCAAGTTTGTATTTCATTAATTTTACGTTTAAGCATCAGAGGAGTTCCAGTTTTAATTCTGAAGGTAATCTACTTGGTGAATTGACTGAATTAAAAGTGAACTGACCCCAATTCCTAGAGAGTGACCAAACAGGATGAGTGCCAGTGAAGCCTGTTAAACCTACAGATCAGATGGTTCCGATGAGAGGATTTCTGACCTGAGCTAAGGACACAGATAACAAGCTGAAGGCAAAGCTGGATCTGAGTGTTAAGAAGGTTTACATTTTAGGCATGAAGCTTGTGCTCTTATCCTCTAGTATCGATTGCATAACTGTTGTAGCCACAGAGAAGAACATCCTCTCTCATTACTGCTGTACGCTTTAGCCAGGACCGTATTCCGATCTCACGGGTTAAGGTCACTGTTTAACAGTTACATGTAATCATGTTTATGTGTTTTAAAGCTGCTTTGGGCAATTTTACACATCAGCAGCTCAAAAAGCCTAAATATTTGGAAATACTTTTAATACCAGGAAACCCTGCAATGGGATTAAACTGTGGTCGTAAAGTGGAGACACTTTTATTCCTTGTGCAGAAACATATTCATATACCCAACAATTGTTTTGTTTGAATTAATGGCCGTAGAGTCTGATTTTGTAGAGATGAGACTTGTCTGTTGCAGCATCAGTCTGTGTTGCAGGCTTTTTATATACAGTCTATGGTTGCAGGATGAGAAGGTTTTTTTCCCCCTTTAAAGTCTTTATATGCCAACAACTGTGGCTTTGATGAAAGTGGGTCACAGGATGACTTAATAAAAAGGCACCAAGTTTGTGTGGAAATATTAAAATCATACCTGTTTATATTTCAGTGATCTCCATTTGTAACAGTTAGCATTTTAACAACCAACACTCTAAGCTGCCCATTATCTGTACAAAGGTAACATAAATGGCAATTGTTTCCATTTCTTCATCATTATCTATCAAACTTAAATGATAATCTTCATCAAACTAGCTGGCATTCTGGTGCTAATGCGGTGCTTCCAAAATGGGAACAAGGGGAGCCTGATGAATCCTCTGTGTGCAGAAATCTCGGTTGTTTGTGTCCTGGAGAAACTGAGTCTGGAAGTGATTAAGTTGTTCAACATTTCTCCTTCCATGGCAGATATACAACCATCTCCCCACTGCACAGTGTGGAGAGGAGAGGGAGCCTAATGGGGTCTATTGGGGTCAGCTGTTTGATCTCGGTTTCCTAACACCTACACACACCTCTGTACCAGTGATCAGTGTGACCACCACAACAGTCTTTCAACTCTGATGTCTAACTTGGCCAACAGGGTAAAAGGTCAAGGTTAAAGATAGCTATCCTGCGCTTAAAGAACAGGATCTCAGCAGTATCCTTAAACTCGAAAACACAAACATGCAAGCAAAAAGAGACATAAATACACATAATCGCACAAAAACATGCATGTGAGATAACAGTCGAAACACCCACATACACTAAAAATGTTATATAGACTGATGCTATCCATCTTTACACCATAGTCTGTTCTTAATCACATCTCTGTATACCACTCCTCGGACAGGAATGTGCTTAAGAGAAACAAGAATCAATATCTACTACTCACCAACCCACCCACACTCCTAACATACCTTTATATAGATCACTTAAACTCCATTTCATGCATACATACACATACAATAATTCCCACTCCCAATCTATGCACAATTTTCTGACTTCATGGGCACCCTAATTGTATGTATACCCAAGAGCGCGCACACACACACACACACACACACACACACACAGGTGTGTCTTGCTACACCTGGGAAGGATGAGCTAGGTTATCCTGTTTTTGTTCAACTGCC